GGACCTATGCCTACAGTAGACTCTACATTACCTGGCAAGGTTGATTCATCAACTTGAAGGGAAAATTCGTTGGATATCAAAAGTTTGCATAAAGAAATTTCAACGTCTTCAGCCATCTCAACATTTCGTCGCTGCACTGTATCGTTGCTTATGGGATATTTTTTTATCACAGTGGATGCAGCTGGATGGTGTAAAACTATTTCTAAACTGGCAGTATCAACTCTGACAACCGGCAGTATCAACTCTGCTCCGATGGTATGAGCTTTCCCAGATTTAGCAATAAGTTTTGATATATTATAAGAAGCTATCAAACTATCGTCGCATTTTTGTGATGAGGTTACTAGTAACCCTGAGACCGAAGATGCCTTCAGAAACATGGAAAAAGATATTCATGAAAAATGAAAAATCTTTATTTTGTTTCTCAGGATGCGTTTTTTTTTTTTTTTTTTCAAATGCTCCTGCTAACTGTAAGATTTCATTACCTCATTAGATAAAACTTAACACAAAGTAAACATATGGGTACAAAGTAAACACATGGATAGTTGAGAGTTCAACAATGATTGAACAAATCCCAACTTCAAGAACGTGGCACTGTATTGATGACACTTCTTTTTCTTAACCGACATTGTTGGTGGCAGCAAAATACAAAGCATAACAGAAAATCAAATATTTCTCAAAATTAATAAATAATTTATGATAAAAACTAATTCGAGCACGTACCAGGCCAAGTAAACTATGAGATCTAATCGAAACTGGAGAGAAAACCGTAAGGAAGATAACGAAAACCATCATAAGAAATACGGGTCAAATCAAAAATTCATACTGAAAGCGCATGCTCTTCAATTTCCACCAAATGACTTGAATGAGTCAGAGGCAAAAACTACTGACTCATGTGCTAAACTGTGTTGGCTCGAATCGGAGAATAGGAGTTGTTTAAGTTCGCTTTATTGATGTTACAAATGGTGTATCGGATAATCTTTATTTATTATATTAATTTAATCTTTTTTTCTTTAATATTAATTTTAGATTAATTTTATTTATTAAATAAATCTTAATTTAATAACTTTTTTTGTTTTAAAATTGAATTTAAATGACAAAACATGCTCATCGCCCCCCCTACAGTCCAAAACATATCCAACGCTCCCCTACCGCCCAAAACAAGTTCACCGCCCCTCAGCATACTCCCAACGCCCCCAGGGGGGCGATATCGCCCACGTTGAGAAACAATGTAATACATTTTCTAACTTACTAATTTGCATTAAAAAAGAAATGAGGGTATTTCTTAAGGTTACTTTGATTTTTTTTTAATGCTCGGTTTTGTTTCGTTTTATCCGAATTCATTGATTTAAATTCATTGAATCTGTAATGTTTTACCTACCAAAATCTCAAATAATATGAAATGGCACTTCAATTTGGAAAGTGAATACTTGAGAACAGAAGTTCCCAAAAATTGTCCCGCGGAACCCTTGGATTCAAAGGGAGGAATGAGTTTCATGAGTTGGACTTGTTCATGATATGCAAAAACCCATAATGCAACAGGAACATCATTCCTATTATGCTACAGGATTAATCCATCTCGGAATTCGTATGACAGAAATAGTAGTCTGTGTACGCTAAGAAAATGAGGTGAAGAACATAGGCTTAGCGTGAGGGCGGGTTCCCTTTTTGTTTTTGGAAAACTCATCGTTTATTTAAAGTGTTATGTATATATGCATGTTTATTTTTATATGTGTATATATTTCTACATAAATGTAAGCATAAAACTTAAAATAAACGAAGAGTTTAAAAGCAAAAACTGCCCCCCCCCCCATTCGCAACATTCTGGTGAAGAAAGTTGATTGCATATTGTTGAACAATCAATTTCCAGAACTATAAAATTCGAAAACCACTGCTTTACAGCATTTATGTCATCGGTGTTATTTCTATTTGAATCTAAATGTTCCTCCGCCGTAAGTAAAATTACACAAATTTTACGAGAATTACGATGAATGTTAAATACCATCCATTTAGAAGGAGAAAAAATAGAAGTGCAACTTGGAAAAAATAATCTCAATTTCAATCTGTTGTATTTAGAATGTTTTGATTTCGTCAAATTAAACTATTTTAGTTTAAATTGAATGAACGAAACTATGTACTCGAGTGTTATCATTTCTAGACAGTTCAAGGCCATGTTCGTAAACAAACATGGACGATAGGCTGTAGTAATTTTATTATCATTAAATCATCGTTTAAATAAATATTTAACAATAACGCGTGCAACTCAGATAAAGGAAATTGTCTTCATTTTCGATTAATTGCTGCTTCTTATTGACAAATGATCGTCTGCAAAGCATAATTATAAAATCCGTGATAAACGAAGTACTATACAGATAAGAGCTCGTAAAATAATAAAGAAACATTCTCGAACTCCAGTTTTGAGGTCTAATAGCGCAAAAGCAGGATTATGGTCCTCAAAAACCAATTTATTATCAACTGAGGCTGGGATATATTTTTAGTGGGCAATCGCGTCGGCAGAATAATATAAAATGGGGTGCAGCCCTCTAACAAACTATCACCCCATCCCCCCCAAAAAAATATTTAAAATATTCTGTTATTACATTTTGTTTTGTTATTACATTTCATGTGTCAATTTCTTCATTGTTAACAAGATATTTTAAAAAAATTACGAATTTCTTTTACTTGCAAATTTTGCCACGAGAAACTGTACTGATAGTGCTGCCATAGCTACTAACTTTGAAACACAAATAACTACAAACAGTAGTTTCGTATACTAACGTGTTTGTGCACGCTTAACATTGGTATTTATTGTGTTGATGAAGTTTTACAGTAGTGAGAAGTCAGTTTGTGTTATACACCTTTGTTAAACTAAATAACTAATAGAAAATATAATATTATTTATATTTTGTTAAATGAAATTTAAAAATATAGCTTAGATATCTGCCAAGTTTGTGCGTGTACATAAGAAAAGAATCAAAGATGATTCAGAATTCATTGAAAAAGTTATAAACAGATTTGGACAGCAAACAAGACGATTACAATTCTTGTTTGATTAAACAATTTTTTAATTGTTATGTATCACTAATTACTTAATTATTTGTTTTTGAATGAAAATATTTTTTATAAAAAAATTTAGAACAAAATTGTTTTTCTGTATCTTTTTAATTGTTTAAAAAAAAAAAAGCTAGGGAGGGTGCACCCCGCTGCCGGCGCCCTAGTTAGTGTGAGTAAGCTTGGAAAAAAAAGTTGTTGAAAAAAAAAATTCAAAATATCAAAATGAAGACAAATTATTGGAAGAGAACTTCTCCATTGCGTAATCCTAAGTCATCTTCTCATAATTTATTTTCATTTTGATGTTTCAAAAGTTTCTTTTCAGTATTTGAAACTTCGTGGCTTTCTCTAAGTTTGCCTGAACTTACTTTTTCTAAAGTTTTCATTTTAAATTAGTTATGTAGGAGAAAGAGAATTTGAGACGAAAAGTTTCTCTCGTAGTATGGCGTCCTCTTCATCTTCCCGCATCATGGCCCGACCAAATTCCGTTCCTAACGCTTTCGGCCTGGTTTACGGGTAGAGAAATGTCCGGACGTCGTTCCCAACATTGTGTCAGTTAAATAATTTGTAGTCCCTCCTTCGATTCGTATTGATCTCAATAGTGATTGGTTGGAGTTTGAAAATGTATATTAATTTGCACTATAAATTGTGAATTTTTTTTGTTAACTTTCGATTCTTATTGATCTCAATAGTGATTGGTTAGAGTTTGAAAATGTATATCAATTTGCACTATAAATTGCGAATTTTTTTTTATTAACTTTTGATTCGTATTGATCTCGATAGTGATTGGTGGAGTTTGAAAATGTATATTAATTTGCACTATAAATTGTGATTTTTTTTGTTAACTTTCGATTCTTATTGATCTCAATAGTGATTGGTTGGAGTTTGAAAATGTATATTAATTTGCACTATAAATTGTGAATTTTTTTTGTTAACTTTATTATTAATAACGATTCAAAAAGTATATATTAAAAGCAGTTATTGCTGAGAACCTTTATATATAAATGTACTTTTTACTCGTTTTTAAATATTTATTTTAATTGATGAGGGTTAGACAAATATACTGAACTACAGATTAATATCTGTCATATTATGTTTCTTTTTCGTTCAAAAATATCATTGTCACTTCATGTAAAAAGAAAAAAAGAAAAAAAACATTTATTTTTACTGTTAAGGCAGATAAATTGCAGTCGATTTCTTTTCTTTTTTTAAATCGTCATCGTTAGTCTTTTTTTGTTTTTTAACATAGGATATTTTTTTAAGGAGATGGGATTTTTATTTGTTTACTTTTTTATGATTTAAAAAATTGTTGGTGCGAAAACAAGTTCAGATTAGTGGATTTCAGAGATTTTGTAGATACCCGAGGCAAACCCCCCAATTAGTTGGCCTTGAAAAAAAAGGAGTGTAATAATGCAATATTTGCAAGGGCAAATAAAACTTATTAAATTTTAAATAATAATATTTATTCATGCAAAAATTAAATCCACATGCTGAATTCCTTCTTATGTAAATGCATGAGAAAATTAATGCTTTGTAAAAGTACCAACAAAAAATGTTTAGATTCTCTCAGATGTATAAAAAAAAATCTGCTTGAAAATCATCTTTATTTATTCACAAAATATTTCTTTTACGACAAGTAATTAATTGAATAAAAAATAAAATTTCTTAACAAAAATAATGTTAGTTTCAAAGTTCAACATACATTTAGAGTTTTGATGAACTGAGTAGTAGAATGGATACCCTGTTTGATTGAATTACTACCGTTGTTGCTTCCTTCGGCCCCTCTCATCCATATTCACGGTGGTCCATATTCACAAATTGTTTTTAAGAGCCAAAATATATTTTAAAAAAGGACTTTTTTTGTATTTATGTCCAGTTCCTGTACTAAATTGAAAATAATTTAACTTTTGCATCGATTTCACATATTACAGATTAATTTGAACTTTCTTTAGGTGAGATTGTTCCATTCAAGTTTAAACATGGAGCTACGAGGAATATTAATAGGATTAATACTTCTTTTTGCCGTAGCACAATCTAAGAAACTGCCACCAGTAAGTTTTCTTTTTGATAATTGAATTTGTTATAATAATTAATAGTTCATTTTTTATTCTACAATATTATTACTTTAATTATTTAAAATACCACATTTTACATTTAAATGTGCAAAAAATAAGAAAACTTTTTATTTATTTGTCAAAAAATAGGTCAAATGTACCATAAATAGAACTCAGAATATCACTTAGTTGATTTAATATCAAGTATATGAACATATATTTTGTTGCATATCTCCCAAAAATAGTGAAACAAATTTCTATTTCGATGGTTGGTCATATAAAGCTTAGTATAGATGAGGCTTGGGGTTCAAATTCGTCCTAAGACTTTCGCGCTGTTATCTTCGATTGATTTTTACGCCTGAACTTGAAAAACCGTGGCATCCAATATTATCATACTTATAGTATTGACAATATAACACGTTCCTTCAATTTAAATTTCTACGAAACAAACAACAAATGAATTCGGAAGACTACGCAAGCATGCTCACGATCTGTTAGAATTTATAAATAACAGAAAACGCTTAGGATTGGTAAAATTTTACGTGTAAATCTAAACACAAATCACAATAATAAAACTTCCTAGAATATTAAGTCTGCACACGTAAGCATAACATAAGTGATACTCCTCGTACATAAACAGAGGAATACGTAAGGAAGTTTTCTAAATTCCTTCCGGTTTTAGAAGCTTATTATTGTTAACATTAAGTCAATCATTCATTTGATACGTTTTACTGATCAACAAGTAAACATGACCAGCAATATTCAAAATCCTCGGGTGAAAACCGAAGAGTTAAAAATTTTATTTTTCACTTTAAAAAACCACAATGAATTTTTTGTTATTCCTTTTTTCTCTTATAAGTAGTGAAACGTTTTAATTTCGTTCTTTAAATAATAATCGATATATAATTAAATAAATAAATGACTTGGGGCAATGTAGTAAAAAGTGACACTTTAACCAAAGGCGATATTTTTATATCTAATTGTTCCCTAGTAGTGTTTAATTTATTTTTTAAGTAGTATTTAACCAGCTTCCATAATTTCCTCTGGAGAACTGCTCAATAAGCAGAAATATCTAATTTCATACATGAAATTCATGTATGAAATTAGATTACATAACTAATGCTCAGATTAAAGTAGATAATTAATTCTCTGCCTACACTTTGTTCTGAAGAATTTGAAATTATAGCCAGAAAACTGATAATTTTATTCTCTTATTTATCGTCTGCCGAAAAATAAATATTCGCTTTTTACAATCGATTGTATTTGATATATCAAAGCAGGTGATATTCATCGATACACTTTTAACTTGAATTAGCAAAGTCTCGTACTTGCATCTAAATGTGTATGGCAACATTTTAGCAAGCATTCGTGCCCAAATATAAGCATGTGCTTAAACTTAAGATCGGTTTCTGAATATGGTTTATTATTATGCTACCTTTTGCCCATCAATTATACTCTAGTATAAATTATTGTTTTATGTGTAGAGCCAATCTTTATTGTTTTATGTGCAGAGCCAATCTAGCGAAGAAAGGGACCAACTAGATCTTATAGCTGAGGATGAAATCTCCAATGAAGTAGACGAAGATAGTAAAGAAAATGAAGTTGGAGGTGGCTACACTCCAGGTACTTGCGAAATACTGTATAAACAGCTTAGAGCAAGTTTAATTATTTTTATTTTTTTTAAATTATCCCGTCCATTAGTTGTGCTACAATCTCCATATTTTTAAATGCTTAAAAAGAAAAATATTTAGTATTCTTAAAACAGTGCAAATACAGCTGAAAGAAGAACCTATTTTGAGTATAAATATTTCCAAGCACTCAACGGTCTTAAGGAAAATCTTCTACTTTAACTCGAATACGTTGATATTTGCTGCCAAAGTTCACGTTTCTTCATTAAAAACAATGCTATATTGGTTTTTTTTCGCTATTTGAAAGTGCAATCATTGGTTTCAACTAATTTGGTAAATAATATACAAAACATGCTTTGGAAAAATGCAAATAATTTATCTCTAAAATAGGGTAGGGGGGAATCAATACTTGTGTAAAAAAAAATTATTTTTATATATAAATTTAGAAATATTTATATAAAAATATATATATAAATTCCATTTCATAAATGAGCATGTAATGAAGAATACAATTGAGTAGAATGAAGATTTCGATTACTTTCTTTTTGGGATTGTAATTACATCGATAATAAATGTTTTGAAGCATTCATTACGCTTTTAAATAGATAGTTCTTTTTAGAATTATTTTTAACCAATCAGAAAAAATTTTTTAATTTCTTTTTATTTCACATTTTATTTAAGATCCCTGTCTTAAAGTTCATTGTGGACCTGGAAGAGTTTGTGAAGTAAATGACAAAGGTAAAGGACAATGTGTGTGCTTGTCACAATGTCCTGAAGAAACAGATGACAGAAGAAAAGTAAGTTATCCGAACCACAAAATTATTTTAAATTATTTGATACTATCTGATTCTTTTGGAACTATGAAACTGTTTAAAATAAAACTAGTCGCATCTATAAAACTGTTAAAAAAGATTTTTTTTTAATTTCGCAACCACAGAACAGTTATGAATAAAAATACTACTTAATTCTCTCACAATCACAGAACTTATTCAAACAAATATTATGCGTGATTCTCTCTAAATCTCAAAATAATAACAAATAAAAATACTACTTGATTCTCTCGCAACCACAGAACTTATTAAAACAAGTATGCGTGATTCTCTCGAAATCTCAAAAGAATTGCAAATAAAAATACTACTTGATTCGCTCGCAACCACAGAAGTTATTCAAACAAGGATGCTTGGCTCTCTCGAAACCTCAAAATTGTTTGAAATAGAAACAATTTAAAATATAACTACATGAAGTAACTATTTCAAATGCAACTACTTGAGTAGCTCACATCCACAAAACAGTTGCAAATAAAAATATTACTTGATTCTCCCACAACCTCAAAACCTATTCAAACAAGGATACGTGATTCTCTCGAAACCTCAAAATTATTTGAAATAGCCTCATGACCATAAAATAATAACCTTAATGTTATTTAAAAAGAAAAAAAAACTTTCTTACATTTACAAAACGTTAACAAGAAACCTAGGTATATATACATATATCTTAAGAAATGTTACATTTTGTTAGTAATGATCGATAACATTTTCGGTAATTGTATATTAACAAGTTATCGCTTACAAAAGTTATTGCTTAAATAGTTCATTGTGTAATCACCATGACTTCATCATACATTTCCAAACTCTACTATCATAATCACATTCGTCAGGCAATTCTAATGATTAATATAAAATTAGAACATTCTTAAACAACCTTGTATTTCGCAAGAGTAAAAATAAATATGAACCGTAAGATAAAAAAAAAGTTTCTTTTTACTTGCTTACTCTTTTACTAGGTAGACTATGCTCTTAATTTGAATCAAATTATGAGAATTATATTTAAAAATTTCTTGTGTGTCTGAAATTCTTTATCAACTGGTCAGAAAATATACACTGAGTGGCCAAATTATTATGACCACCTCAGAGTTTTATGCAAATGAGTTATTGCGTCACAGCGCTGCCGCTAGAGGGCAAGATAACCATAACACGGGAATGCTGGACAAGTGAGTCATCAGTTATACTGTGTTGCTTGCTCAGATATGGAAAAGAAAAGTGATGCAGCAGTTGTTAATGTGTACAAAGAATGGACAATCAAGCAAAAAATTGGGTCTCAACGTCAGACTTGCGGTCGTCACAGGGTACTGAATGCTCGATCAGACAGAAGGCTGGCCAGGGTTGTGCAGCGCAACAGGATAGCAACAGTGTGACAAATTGCAAGTGATCTTAATCAAGGAGCAACTGTGAACGGACTGTTCGACGCACATTGCGCCGTATAGGGTATGGAAGCAGACGACCTGTTCGTAAGTCTCTACTGTCTGTTTTAAATAAGCGCAGACGTCTCCAATTTGCAAAGGAGCACAAACATGGACAGTAGATGACTGGAAGTGGGTCATGTGGTTCGATGAATCATGATTTCAAATGCATCGCGCAGATGACAGGATGAGAATATGGAGAAAACAGCACGAAAGCATGGACCCCAACTGCATTGCCACGACACTTCAAGCTGGTGTTGGCAACGTTATGGTATGGGGAATGTTCTCTTGGTATTGTATGGATCCTTTAATTCCTGTACCACAACGCCTTAATGCCCAAGGGTATTTAAGTATCATCGCAGATCAAGTACATCCGTTTATGTCAATGGTGTACTCTGGCGGGGATGGATACTTCCAGCAGGATAACGCTCCTTGTCATAAAGCTGGCATTGTCCTCAGATAGTTCGAAGAGCATGACGGAGAATTTAACTTGCTTCGTTGGCCAGCACAATCCCCAGATCTCAATCCAATTGAGAATTTGTGGGATGAAATTGAATGGGCGCTCAGACAGATGGATCCAGTACCATCAAATTTGCAGGAATTGACAAGTGAAGCTCAGCGAGCATGGTCTGGCATACCTTCTACCACATACCAACATCTCATAGAATCCATGCTCAGACGAATTAAGGCAATAATACGCGCAAAAGGTGGCCCAACAGCGTACTGAAGGAGTGGTCATAATAATTTGGCCACTCAGTGTACATGATAAATACATATATTTTTCATTGCAATTTTTTATAATGTAATAGAATAGGATATTTTTCTGGCAATATCAGTCCGTCTAAAATTTTATATATTTTTTACTACAGATTGAGTTTGAGTTAAATGAGATTATTGACGCATTACAATCCAAATAATCTTTTTTTAATATACTTTTAATCACCAATTCAATAACTTAAATTAATTGTTTTACGAAATATATATGTTTTTATCAATATATATATTTACAAAATAGGTTTGTTCTAATCACAATGAAACATGGAGCAGCGATTGTGAAATCTACCGAATGAGATGTTTCTGCAGCGAAGATAAAGCGGAATGCAAAACTAAGAAATATAAGCACGTTCACGTTGATTACTACGGCGAGTGCCGAGGTTAGTATCTGAACACGTTGGTGGAGAAATAATAATTTTCTCTCTCGAGTAAGATGACCAAATTTATTCACCTTATTCCTGACAGTGGTATTAGCAGATGGCAGTACAATAAGAGGATAACTTCCTTTAAATTTTACGAATGCATTGATTTACACTAGAGCTCCTGAATTAAATTATAAGGATATATATAATATCCACTATAGAGGAGCCTTATTAATTTTTACTAATCTGAGCTGCTAGATGTTAAGAAAAAAAACTGCATGACTTCCTGTTTTTTTTTTTTTTTTTTTTTTTTAAGGTTTTTTTTTTAAGGTAAGAGTCCTCGAAAAATTTCATGATTTATGGAATATATTGATTTATATGTGCAACAATTTTTAAATTGATTTTTTTTTAAATTGATAACTAATATTAGGTGCAGAACCATTTTCATCAAAGTTAATTTCATTGCTAGGCAAGTTTGAAACATCATACAATATTCTAAAATTCTTTTATTCTTTGCTGAATTTTTAAACAAGTATGTCGTTTTCATCTTTTAATTTTAGTATGGTGTTTTTTAATGTTTTGTTTTCGTATTTCGTTTGCATTTTCTGTGAAACAATATTATCTTGTTTAAAAAATGAAAATAAAAAAACATGCACATTTCTGATTTTTTGATATTTTACTGCAAATAAAAAAAATATACTATATGTTTTCAGATAAACTTGGGGACAAAAGTTAAAATTTGAGAACATTTTCTGCCCTTAGAAAGATTAAAATTTTTTAAGGACAATCAATGAAATTTGAGGACGTCTAATCATGGTCACCTTACTCTTGAGAAGAATCAAGTTTTTAATTTTATTGTTTTACACAATTAAATACTGAAATACAAAGGATTTATTATATTTATGTTTCATTACTAGTTAATAAGCCTTAGTTTGGATTATAAAATTTTTGTCAATATATTACAGATAAAGAGTTATCTTTACCGATGCAGCATTACGAACGAAGTATATCCACTCACATAATGTAGTACAAAAGCGCTACGATTGGAGATTTTCGCACTCCTAACCTAAACCAAACTGAAAGCATTATGAACGGAGTAGATCTGATAGCTAATAGTTTATAAAAACAATTACCATTGAATAAAAACGTTAGTGTCTATTTTGGCAAAGGGAACACTTTTAGTTAATTTTCAAAATAAAAATTAAGAGAATTTTATGAACTTTATCTACGTGGTCAAACAATAATTCTGGAGAAGTACTGTGGGTTGGAATCTAAACTAACTACCAAACTTAGTTCATAGAAAAGGTCTTCAACATCTTATACCATGACAACGTGTCACTCAACATGCAGCAGCAAAAACTTAAAGTGGGAATTCCTCCAACACTTTATACATTCAAGTTTTTATCTGTTCTGTTTTCTGCTAAATAATTTGAAAAGCAGGATGAAATCTCTTATGCTGATAGAATATCTATATTATGATTATAGAATATATTGATTCTTAAACAAACTATATATATAAAATTATATTAGGAGATATCTTGACTTTAATCAACGTTATTTTTTAACAGTGCAATACTTTCTTTCTTTCTATTTTAATTTCCTATTAATGAATAGCAATTCATTTTAAAAGCATCGTTTTGTGGGTTCGCTATGCTACGGCAGAAAATAATACTTGCTATAGCAAGGAGAGGATAAAAGTGAGAAAGACATAAATAACGCAAATCTATGACTGGGAAAATAAGTGAATGGCATATTAGTGAATCAGCTAATAGGCGGGACTGTGAATCAGAATATCATGGAATCTACAAATCGGTTGGCGAATCTATATACTAATAAAAAATATATAGTAATTTAAATTTATGGTATAGGAGTTGAACGTATTTTACTCTTTTAACTTTAGATCTTTTCTTTCAATATATATAGAAATTCCCAGATGTAGTGATGAGGAGATGGAAGATTTTCCCAGGAGAATGAGGGAGTGGCTCTTCAACATCATGCAAGATTTAGCCAACAGGCAAGAACTGGACGATCCTTATCTTCAATTGGAAAAAGAAGCAGAGAAAGATTTAGCCAAAAGATGGGCCAACGCTGTTGTTTGGAAGTTCTGCGATCTGGATTCACACCCATTCGACCGGTAAAAACTTACACGAATTAAAACTTTTTATTTGAAACGGTGGGAAGACGTTCTTCCACGACTCGCAAATTTTCAATTGTTTTATTATTTAAAATTTCTTACAAAAGGAAATGTAAAAATTTCTCTTATCTTGCTTAGATGTAATCAAACAATTGTAACGATTCAAATATCTACATTTTATAACCGTCGTTGAACAGCCGACCCAATTTTTGAGTTTACAACTACTAATGTTCAACCCCGCAGCCTTGTAATTTAGAACACCATCTAGAAGACAAGGGAATTATTCTGGGTCAAGTATTGGGAAAAATCTGCCTTTATGGAGGACTTTTTGATGGAACTAACCTGCATTTGCGTTACATGGAGTGGAAGACTTCCCACGGTTAGCCCGACTGCAAGGGGACTTTAATCCATGATCCGTCTACCATTAGGGATATTTTACATCAGCAATGTGGTTGGTGCGAGCCGGGTGCAGAATTCGAACCCTGTTCACGTCATTGGAAGGCGAACGCTCTATCCCCCGAGCCGTGTGCTCATCAAATCTGTCTATTCCCTGGGCTCATCAAGTATCTATAAGCATTTTTTTTTCTGAAAAACTTTCACAAGTTTTCGTAAATCAGAATTTCGAATTTGTCGCTAAATCAGCAATAAAATTCAAAATCCGCTGAAGAACGGAATCATTTTCTTATAAGCAATTGCATATAAGTCTAGGTGAGAAATTATTAAAAGACTAAATTTTTTTCATTAAATATTACTCCTAATAATTACTACGGCAGTAAATGATACTTGCTGTAAGGAAAGGATAAAAGGTAGAAAGACCAAAATAACGCATATCTATGATTAGGAAAATAAGTGAATGACATATAGTAATGATTGGAAATGGGAATAGTTAATAAAAATAAGTAAATCAGCTTCATTTTAATACTTAAAAATTTTCATCGCATTCTGGTCACGGAAAGATTATAATAATTATTGAAAGACGATTTTTAAGCAGATGTTTTTCTACAAATGGGAATGTAAACAATTCGGAATTTATCGTAAATATTTATCATAGATAGTAAAGGTATGAATCTGTATGTCGTAAATGTGAAAAAAATATTTAAAGCACTTTAGAATATCGCCAAGGCGGTGCATAGAAGTATGTTTTTTGGAGATCGTTATCATTATCACAATATTTAAGAACATCAAGATAAGTTATAATCAAAATTCAAACAAAGATAGGGTATACGAAAACCACCTAAATAAAGCACATATAAAGAAAAAAATTGGATATACCTTACTTTTGATTCTATATAAACCTCCAAAGGATCTTTCGAGGAACGTTGTTTATAGAATCGAACTAAACGTCTGTTGCGCTTTTATTTTTACTTTATTCATGTTGTTATGCTTTATTCGTACTTTATTATATTAAAAAGAGCCGGGATAGCCTGGTCGGTAGGGCACTGGGCCCATGCCCGAGAGTTCGAACCACGTCGGTCGGCGTGTAAAGTGACTGATGCACGTTAAATCTGTCGAGTCGCATAAGTCCTCCATGTTCCCATAACAAATCAATACCTCTGGGAGTACTGGATTGAAGATCGATCGTTCTCTGATTTAGGTCAAAATTACAATCTGTGGATGAATGAAGGGATGTATGAATGGGTCCGCCCTATAAACGGGTGCGACGTATGGTGTGACAGAAGTCAAATTCTTGGCCATAGATGGCGCCACTAGAAAACAAGAGCAATCGCACCCCCTGCCTAAATAGGCATACGTCAACAACAACAACATTATATTAAAATACAATCAAGGCCTTAAAAAGCGGTTATTCGAAAGCAATTTTGTTTTAAAAAATAAAAAAATAAAATAAAAGCCGAACAACTGATACTTTTCACTATTAGTCAATAAAGATCAATGATATTAATAATAGTGAGATCAATGATAAATATTATTATTGATAAGATTGTGCTTATCAAGCGTGAATAAGATCAATAAAATTTCCACAAATTGTAAATCTACAGAATCATATGAGATTTAAAAATATGAGTTAGTGTAATAAATTTATCTTCTACATAGATCTGTGTCAAGGCACGAATTATTTCCAATCCGAGCTCCTCTACTGGCCATGGAACACTGCATAGCACCCTTCTTGGACAAATGCGACGCTGATGACGATCATCGCATCTCTTTGAAAGAGTGGGGACTCTGCTTGGGATTACAGGAAAGTAAGTTCAGCCGACTTGTTAAACAAAATCATAATTATACATTATCTCCAGTTAATTATTTAAAATTAAACAGTTCCTTTGTGCGAAACTTCGTCGATTTCATATGAAGGACAAAGATTCTAACAAGAAATCAGTTCCTTTGGGCGAAACCTCGTCGATTTCATATGAAGAAACTATAATTTTTACATAAAAAAAGCTTTATTTGAGCGAAACTTCGGCAATTCCGCATGAAGGACAAAGATTCTAACAAGAAATCAGTTCCTTTGGGCGAAACTTCGTGGACTTCATATGAAGAAACAATAATTCTTACATAAAAAAAGTTTTATTTGAGCGAAACTTCGGCAATTCCGCATGAAGGACAAAGATTCTAACAAGAAATCAGTTCCTTTGGGCGAAACTTCGTCGACTTCATATGAAGAAACAATAATTTTTACGTAAAAAAGTTTTTTTTTTTTGGGGGGGGGGTGAAACTACGTTAATTTCGCATGAAGAGATAGAATATTCATAACTTCATATATATCTATGGTTTACAAATATTAATACAGAATGCATTTCAGTCAAAACAATTGCTTGCAACCTTATTAAAAAGAATAGGGGTGGAAAATGTGCTGACAACCCACTTCAGTTTTGAATTTAGTATGAAAATTTTCATGTTATATCCACCTCCAAGCCAGTTATGGGGTATTTAGTTTTTAATAAACAGATGTGGTTCACTCGCGTTAATGTAACCACAACCCACTTTCGAAATCAACGGAAAATATTCAATCACAGGCAGGTGATAACACATAACAGTAGGGCGTATACGAAGGGCGTCCGAGCGAATCGGAAAACATTGCAATTGTTACCGTAATGCAAAAAACGGGGCGATTTATCCAACTTCCAAAAGGGCATGATCTTTAGCTTTCGGGCCAAGAGTTTAAAATTTCCCTAAACGGTTTGTTTTATAAACTGTTCGCATGCCACCATGGCAAAAAATATACCGAGAGTGGCAAAATGATACTATCCCAAATCAGCAACGTGGCAAATAAGGTGAATCTCATAGATAACAGGGGTGAACGACGATTGCGGAGATGTGGTCGGGCGAATAGACGCGCAACCGTTGAGAAACTTGACCAAAGTGCTACTAACAGTTTCTCATCAACGACGATTCAGCTAACGTTGCTGCTTATAAGCAAGGCTCTGTAGTAGACGCCTGGTTAATGCACATTTGCAAACTGTTATTCATATTGGAAACGAAGGCTGGAATTTGCACGTCAGTACTGCAACTGGACGTCCAATAAGTGACGACAGTAAGTGATTTTACTGATGAATCACGTTTTATGCTCCATCTGACAGATGGACGTTGGCGTGTACGACATGAAATGTCTGAAAGCAATCAATTTGCTACAATTGCTGGAATTATCCAAGCTGGAGGAGTGCACTCATTATTGTAGAAGACAGGATGGATCAACCTAAGTACGTATCTGTCCTTTAGAACAATGCTCGCCCCTACATGCGAATTGTTTTTCCTCAGGATGATTTCTACCAGTAGGGCATTGCGACATGTCATACAACTCGCAATGTACGTGGATGTTCCAAAAATCACCAGGATAAGTTTACCGTACTCCTCTGGCCACAAAACTCTCCAGGCTTAAATCTAACAGATAATCAATTAAACCACCTTAATCTGATTGTATAGGAATGTACTACGATACTTTTCCTTTTCTTCATATTTTCCGTTTTTAATAAATAAAAATATTTTTAAAATTCCCATGATGCTTTCTTTTTTAAGTATGTTTAATGTAGTTTTCAGTTCCATATAGTTTCCCAACTTAAAAGATTTTAATCTATATGAAAATCAAGACAGAAACTAACGTACTTCCTTCTTCTATGATTCTCCAGACGCTAATGGTGAAAGCATGCGAAGTGTTGTCACAGATAGAGAGTTCTGTTCTACGCCACCTGTAGCCCATTTCAATCGCCAATTGAAACATTCAAGTTATTTCATAGCTATAACAAACAGAAAGTAAAATCCTAGTGTTATAAAAAACAGAGTGACTTTCCAATCCTTGTGTTTCTTGCCGCGTGAATGCACCCTATAAGCTCATACTCCTCTCTGTACCGTGGATTATTAATCTCTGTGGGAGGATTACTAATATCACCGCCATATCTATTAGCTATTTTACTTTAGAAATTATTTTACTTTTGCTCATTTTTAATACATTTGAGTCTTTCATAATGTTCCCTTATTTCTAAAATATGTTATAGTTTTAGAACTAATTACAGTTATATTTCCAAAAGTACAAATAAATCTATTTTCCAAAACAGTTATTAAGAAATTGTAAACATCTTTAAAATAGCATAAAAATATTTTTCGAGCACACCTTTCTTTCAAATAACTGTCATTGATTTGAAATACAACAGTTTAATATTTAAACTGTCTTATTTTCCAAAAATCAAAATTAAGAAATATATTTGATTATTTCAGATGAAATTGAAGACAAATGTGCAGAAATAAGAGATAACAATGAGTAATGATGAAATTAAACAAATTGCTTATGTGCAATGTACTCACTGCCTGAACGTTGATTCTCGGTGCTATATTGTAAAGTGGAGTTTCTGTGAATCATGTGCCAAATTAATGTCTGTTGTGCCTTTGCAAATTTGTCTAATTTATCTTTTTATACAAATTGTACTATCAATGTTTTGTCATTTCAAATTTTAACACTGTGGATTACTAAATGTTTATTTCCTATTGTCTGATATATCCATTTGCAATACAAAAATATAACACAAATTTAATGAATCTAACTGGTTTTTAAGTTTTTCACATTGCATAAGAAGCAATTCAATAAATAGAGCTATTCTAGAGCAAATAAATCATACACTAGTGTATTAATAAAATATATAAGCTAAAGTCAGACTTATATAAGGTTAAAACTATAGTTATATTATTAATAATTAGATAAATTAAAAAAGCATAATAATTTTAAGCTTATTGTTAATTTTGTCAAAAATCCCCAAACTTCAAGTTGGAATGAGAAAAAAGACCTAAAATTAAGAAATATTGGTAACCATAATTGACCATTTTCAACCATATAATAGATACCAAGATTTATAGTTCAATTCACTTTTAACCAAGGTGAGATTTATACTATGAGATAATGGGGAAATTTCTAGAAGTAGAAAAACTCAAGATTTATAGTTCAATTATCTAATACTGAATTTTTATTAAATTAAATATAATTTCAATACATCAATAAAAGATTTTTTAAAAAAATATGCGGAATTATTTATTAAGAGGACAGCCCTTTTCAAAGTACTCAATAAAGCTTAAAACAATTGCATCAGTATAAATGGCCCGTATAGATGATAATTAATTTTGTTATAATCCCAACAAAGGAACATAATTATCTACTAAATTCTGATATCTTTCATCACAGAGCTCCCATAAATAGTTAATGATGTGGAGCATAAAGTACAATACGCAAAATATGAACAAAAAGATTACTTAAATTAAAATGATGTAAAAATTTCTAAACCTTATAATTGAAACTTTTTTCTTTAATAATAAAAAAATATGCATATTTTGCTTAAAATTATCTTTGGTTAAACAAATTTTTAAATTTATAAAAAAAATATGTAATTCCTTCACATAGTTTTATAGACATATTGATATAAGCGAAAGTGAAATAGCATTATGGGGATCAGATTTTCAACAACACAGAAACTAATTTGATCATATATGCATGCTACATACTCCCATATTTTGAAAAAAGGCATGTTTATTCTGAGAATGTACATTTTTGTGTTAAATTTTGTAACTTAAAATATCATCCATCTGCCCATTTAAAAAAGCATATTCTTAGTTTAACCTTAGAAACATTAAGATTGCATTAGCATGAGAATATCCTATAATTAAATCAAAAGTATTAAGGTGTGTTTTTTATTTTGCTCACACAGGGTGCATAGTCAAATTTTTGAGCAAACTATAAATGTCTTAAAGGCACTTTTTAGGCAATTTAAGGGGTCACAGTACCCAAAAAATGACCAAAATATTGATATTTTTTTATTGCTTATAATAAAACTTCAAACTATTTGAAATGCACTGAAAAAGAAATCCTCTATCTGCATTTTTAAAAAAGTTATGAATGATTTTAGATTGATCTGAGACAGAAACTTGATAAGCAGGCAGATTTTAAAGTGCTTTTTCTCATAGATGATAATTTTGTGTTTTATTCTTAATTAAATCCCTAAGGAATTTTTTCTATTTAAGATCAAGCTTTGAAGTAAACTTTTTTATATTAAGTATTTAAACTATGCAAAGAGCCTTATTTAAACTAACAAAGAATATGCCTTATTTAAACTACGCAAAGAATAAGCATTTTATGAAATATTAAAATTTTTACCGCATGTTATATATACCTAACAGGAATTTTTAACCTTTTCTTTCTACTCTTTAACAAAATAATCTGTAAAAAATGTTCTAATTGATATATCAACAAAAGAATGCACAAAATTGTTAAGATGAATAGTGTAAGCACTAAGAAATAAATATTTTTCTGAAAATATGTTAAAATAAAAAAGTCTTAAGGATTTAAAAACTTATCAGTTTAACTATTTTTTGAAGATAAATTATTGATTGCAAATTAAATGAGCATGTAAAGCATCAACAAAATGAATGAATATACCTTTATTTTAAAAAAAAAATGTTGCAAGGGTACTGTGACCCCTTAAAAATATTTTATTTACTTTTTTTTAAAATATATATATATATATAATTAGGATATGCACACTTACAAAATTTTTCCAATTCATTAATTAATTTTAATGTAAAATTATAATTACTTTAACTTTAAAAAAAATTGGGTTTTTTTCTTAGATTTAAATTAAGATTATTTATAAATCTATAGTCAACAAAAACTTTTACAATATTAGAAGGCAATTTTTAAAAACACCCAATGAAAAAAGCATCTTTAAGAGCTTTTAGATGAAGATAAAAAATAAACACCTTTTCACAAACGCTAAGCAAACTGAGAGAGTACAAGTTTCCTACATAATTTGTTTCATTATAAAGTGTTTTCAAACTTGATAAGCAAAACACTCTTGCAACAGAATTATAAACTTGTTGAAAAAAAATTTAATTTATGAGTTATCTCTGTTTATGGGTTTAAATTCTGGCATTTTACTACAATGCACACAACTTTGTTGAATTCCATGTAAAAAATTGAAATTATTATGCAAAATTCAGAAATTTTTTTACAATTTATTTATATTTTACAGAATAATATTCAATCAATTTAGTCTTGGAGCAATGTAAAATAATGTGACAGTCAAAAAACATAATCACACGTACAAAACCTGCAGATAAATAGACATATTTTAACATGAAAATTCTTTTCAAACATGGATCGGATCAGCTTTCAATTTTCATCAACTTCCAGCAAATGATTATTTTTCACGCAGCTTACAATCATCACTAATTACTCATCATTAAAAAATCTTTACGGATAACTTTTGTAAATGGATGTCAATCAGATATGTAACATCATTTGGCATTATAAAAAGAAACAGAATTCAGCTTTCAACATGGACAATGATATAATATATGGGCGGACATCAGTGGCGTACACTTTATTTATAGGAATTTTTAGTGGATGTGTGCGTAAAGTAATTATTCCATATTATGTTTAATAATGTCAAGATAATTTGTTACTTAGTCTAGATAATTATTGTGAATCTGGATAATTTATTACCACCAAGGAAGTGCATAGTTTAAATTGATCTGAATAATTTGAGATCTACTATACTTTTAATGTGTTAATTTAATAAAAAAAATAGTAATTTTCATTAAATATTAAACTTAAACAAAATATCTTATTGATTGAACATATACAATTCCTTTTTTAATACGCCACTGGCAGACATACATACAAGCATATTTAAATATATTAAATAAATATAATACTGAGCATAGTTATTTTGAAATTTTCAGTAAAATATGCAATGAAATTGTTGGAATTATCACAGTAAATAATAAGTTTATTTATAAAAAAAATATAATTTTAGCAATCAAAATAAGTTAATAGGAGCATTCAGTAAGCCTTCATATAATATGAATGATAAAATTAAATTTACTAAATTAATCATCATGATATATTTTTAAATTTTTGTGATTTTGAAAATCAAAATTTTTGTTTCATTGAAGTTTGAAATACTGAAGTAATTTCTTAATATCCGATAATCGCTGATAGCATAAAACATTAAGAAAAAGTAAGATTTAATAATTACACAGTAAAATGAGTTAAACTATTATTTTTTTTATGACATTTCTTAATATTTCAATTTTAAGTTCAAACAAAATAAATGATAGATGATGTTTCAGATTTAAGTCGTGTTAAGATGTTTCAGATTTAAGAGCAAGATTTTTTTTATTAGCAACAACTTTTTAAACTTTTATTGACAAAAAAATGTGGAGAAAAAATTAAATTGAGTTTATTATGCAAATAAATATGATTGATAAAATCAATAACTAAAAGTACTAATTTCTTCCCAAAAGAAGTTGAATTTTGCTTATTATGGTTTGCATAGGCAAGTATTCAAATATTTAAATTGATGAACTTACAATAGCAAGCACAACTATCTGAGTGACGATGGAAATGCAATAAAAATATTAATTTATAACATGAGCAATATTTATTGATTTCTAAACAAGAGATTGTTGCATCTGACAACTTACTGACTTATTCATATCCCTCTTGTTTGTCCTCTAAATTAGGTTAATGCATGTCCACACAATAAGCAATAAAACAGCACATTTGTAAAATGTTTTTAAATTCTTAATAAACAAATTTTGATGTTCATGATTTAAGTTCTAAGCTGTAAAGATGATGGTAAGAAACATTTTTTTATTTGAACAAGGAAAATTTAAAAAAAAAAAAAAAAAGTAGTGCAGAGACCTTTTATAGCTTTCCACCACCACCCAATCAGGGTATATTAGAATGTAAAACCGGTTGCCCATAAGTCCCTTAGGAGAAACCACAGGCCCAGGAGGGGGGGAGCGACTTGCTAGGTCACCACCAGTGTATTTAACCTCTTTATAGTATACCTGCAACAGCCCATTGTGGGCCAGGGAGTTGATGGAGGCTAAGGCTCCACAATTTCGAGACCTGCAGCATGATTATTGCAATTCGGTCGACATTGTGCACAGGGTGCCTTCACTTTATAGACAAGCTCGTACTCGTCGATGAAGCTGGATTGACTTTAAGCCACCACTGGGAATCAAATCCAAGTCTTCTTAAAAGTAGAGGCATTTATTACATGAGTGGCAATTTTTTTAAATACCAAGAAATTTGCAGTTAATTATATGCAAATATTTTAAATTTTAGGCTTGACTACTATTTTTATAATATTTGGGCACACTGATTTTAAGTCTATTAAATATATTGTGAAATTAAACTATTAAAAGTTATCGTATAAGATTACATTCATTATTTAATTTCGTAGCTTCTTGACAAAAATAAGTAATGTTTTAAAAAAACAATTATCTAGGGCCATTAAGTCAAAACTTATTTTATAAAATGTTAACTTTTGACACAGCATATTTTTAAGAATTAATTTGGTACATTTTAAATAGTTCGCAGCCACTTCATAATTTGCTCACGACCTTTTTATACTTTTAATAATCAGGGAAAATTCTCAAGGCATGTAGCCTTTGTAAAAACTAATATAGGAGTTCAGAGGATAGTAATATTTTTCATTTTTACAAAATTTAAAATGAAAATTAAAATTGAAATTTAAAGTACATTTTTTTCAACTCCTATGGCATTAATTTGAAACTTACCTAATCGGATGTCAGCTTTTGACACAGCATATTTTTAACAATAAATTTACTACATTTTAAATAGTTGAATTTAACAACCACTTTATAACTTTGTTATGTTTATAATAATTAGGAAGAGTTCCCAACATATATAGCAATCATTGAAATAAATATAGCAGGAGAGAGTTCAGAGGGCAGTATTATTATTTATCATTTTTACTTCAGTCAATTACAAAGTTGATAAACATTTATTTCAACTTGACTCACTTCCTTACTTCAATTTAATTTTAGAAAATTATAAAATTATTTTAGTTTACTCACACAAAATATTCTTTACTCAAGCTTTGTAGTACTTTTTTATGTATGTCACTACATTTTAACGAAATCTATGACATTAAGAATATTTAATTTAACCAGTTTTACTATTATCTATGTATCTAAAATTCTTAGACCTTTCAGAATGTAATTTTAAGAGAGAAAAATAATCTATTTATCATTCTACAAATACCCAACATACAAACAAGATTAGAATAAATATCACTACAATTCAGAAAAGTAAATTATTTGTACAGAAATTCATCAATATAAAAATACTATCTAATTTTTTTTTTAATTTTCACATTTAAATAGCTAAGTACTAATTCAGATAAAAATATAGCATTTAAGATTTTGACATCTTTTCCTTCTTTACACTAAATTTAATTTTATACATACATAAAATATAAAGCTAAGACTAAACAAAAAATTGACAGAAATTGGAAGAAGTATGAATACTAAAGACATTGTTAGAAAATGAATTGTTAAAACCAAGGTTTGAAAATAATAATGATACATGACCAAGGCATGTAAAAATTCAGATTGGCTATGTATTTTTTACCCTTATAGTTAGGTTGGGCAGATAAATATTCAACCAGAATTAAGAAACACCATTTTGGAGAGAAAAATACTCTCAAACTTTAGCAAAAGCCTTTACAAAGAGTCAAATACTTTAGCAAAAATAATACTTTAATAAAATGTTAACAAAATATGTAACAAAAATAGTTTAACAAAATTTTAGCAAAGAGTCAAATACTCTCAAACTTTAGCAAAAGACACTAAGATGTTAGATGGGATGAAAAAGCGACCTCAAAAGGTGAGAAAGAAAAAGAAAATCCATTGTATTTTACTTAGAGCATAGTATTTGACATAAATCCATTGTATTTGACAATGTATAAGACTTAGATATTATTGAATTAAATTATAAAAAATCAGAATTTCTTAAATAATAGAAGCTTATTCCATTTTAATCCAATAGTAATGTTTATTTTCATTAAAAAATATTTACTCCAATTGCAGTGCATATGAACAAAATTAATATTGTAAAAATTTTAAATATGGTTTAAAAGAAACTTATTGAAGAGTATTGCTTATAGTATTTAATAATTTCGGCAATATTATTAAATACTATAGAATATATGTAATGCATACTTTTTTAGTTTATTAGAATGTTTTTTACATTTACTCCATTAACGCAAAATACCTTTTGTAATGATACCTAATACTTTTTGTCAATAAAACTTAATACTTCAGGCTTATACTTAAGATAAAAATGTTGATGTAGATAATGTTGGTAGTATAATTTTTTGACAGATTAATAATAAGGTACAGTCATTTGTTTACAATAATATGCAATCCAAAAAGATGTTCAGAGATGCATTAATGCGGTTGCTAAGGCATGAAATAACTTTGACATTTTTCAAACCCTGGTTAAAATCCATAATTATAAATTCTAAAATGTCTTCAGCTTATGAAATATACACAGATGAAAATATAGAAAACAATATTTAATCTAAAATGTTTGAAAATACTATTCATGAAGTATCTTTCATACTATAAGGAACATCAAGACAAAATAATCTCTACATAAATAACAAATTAATATGTTTAACAGCTAAACTAAAACTGAATATCAATAATTAATTGTTTAGAAAATGTCTTGTGATAAGGTAATGTTGATTTGGAAAACATAAGATAATTTGAAATTAAAATTTCAAACATTTTTAAAAATACAAAAACTTTAGATAGAAATATATATGTATAAATTCCAAATACAAATTGAAAAATATTTGAATAAATAATTTTTCCTTACAATATTTTTTAAATATATAATATTGATTTAGTGGACGTTTCATTGTTTCAAATATTATTCCATACAATTTGAACAGTGTAAACTGTACACGCTGAAAAAAAGCACCGTATTTAAATTGTACAAGAAAATTAATGTTAAAATGGCACTTACAGATTTATAATTTTAATTTAGAAACTTTAAATATAAATTTTAAAGCACCTCTTTCACACAAGAAAAAAGAAAACATAGCTTAATTGTATTAAATGTTCATCAAATATCATTATGGAAAGCAGGTGTAACTCGTCTGGTCTAACTGACCTGAAAGCAAGCCACCTGAATTACTACAAATTCAAACAAAAGACACAGAAGTTAGCTATTAGTTTCTCATTAAAAATATAAGTATTTTTTCAAAGGCTTTCTTGCATATTTTTGTTGCAATCAAAATACAAACGGTTTAGTGCTAATCTATTTTCAACGAGTGAAAAAACAGTTTTAAAACTGAATTTTGAGCGGAAACAATACATATATAATAACTACACAAACACCGGGATTCATTTGAAGTCATTCTGTTCTGTTTAACAGAAAATTAGCTTTGCTTTTCTGCAATTGCTGTCAGCAAAATTATGTAATTAATATTTGGTGAGTTAGCATAATTAATAGTAGAAAAATTTCACATAAAGAAATGTGATATTGCGGGACATTACCTAATAAAATAAAGGCTAACTAAAATAAATTAATGCAATACAATTCTCTTTTTTCTTAATTTCATAGTTATAATTTGCTTCTTCAGTGAAACACATTGAACTTATTGAACAAGATTACAAAAATATACATCAAAATAAGTAATTTTCTTTAAGTAGTTAAATGTTACTAAAAATAATCAAAAATTAAAAAGTTACACTGGCAAAAAGACCTTTCTTTTTATTTAAATTGACTTAGGGAATAAAAATACAATGCGAGTAGCATTATGTATGAATTGCTATGATATACTATATAAAATGATTATTCAACATGAAATGTTTATGTAGAATTGAATATGAGTTATTTCTGCATTTCATAACATTGTTATGTTCTGAACAAACATCATGATGGTGATATAGGACAATATAGTTAGTTACATTTCATCTGCCATTAGTCAAAATATCATTAAAATTGAAAACCAACTAAAGATTAACACTTTGACAGCAAAATAAATTTTTTGGAAGATTTTTGTAATGTTGAAAACTTTTTGGCGCATTGAAAGAAGGCTCCCTCAAAAACATTGTTTATTTATCTTCCAACACAACAAATTGAGAAAAAAAAATTGAGAAAGCAAATCAGCATATTGACCCAAATGATTTGTTAAAATATTATTTGCCATTAAAGGATAAAAGGAAATATTTAACCCTTTGAGTATTAGTCCCAGCATTTTACTAACTTTAAGCTGTTTGCTTTCTTGTATCTAATTTTGAACTGCTTTATTTTATAACTGGTCTTAAGCAAGTGACCCATTTTCGGAGTTATGACTACCAATATTAAACTACCAAACCTTGTAACTCATAGATTAACCAAAAAAAGCATAACTAAAATTATCACTTGCTGCAATTAATGAACATATTTTAATTGGATTCCTTAAATCAAGAAGTTAGCCTCTCAGAAATGTAAAAATATGATTATTAGGCTAAAAGTTATAAAGCATGCTTTTAATTTTCAGTAAACTGTAAATTAATCAAAATTCCCTTTTCTTTCTAATAAATTAGCACATATAAAATTAAATTGATACAGCAAATTGGTGGAAAATGCTTTCAAAATAAATATTATATGCATAAAAAAAACATTATACTAAAGTAAATTTTCAAAATTATTGAAATTAATTATAGAGTGAAGTATCATTTAAAGTCAAAGTGTTAAAAGGATATACTCAAGAAAAAGTTTCTTGTTAAAGCATTTACAATGAATTACTTGAGAAGGAATTGAGCACAAAATAAGCACGTTAAAATATGACAATTTTTATATTTTGGAAGAGCTTTGATAAATAATTTTAATCACAGTTCATGAAGGCTTGAAAAACAGTGTTGTTAGTTTCTGATTTATACAATTTAAAGAAAGTAGACACTTTGTTTTCTTCATACTGATAGGAGTTCTGTATTGCTTAATGAAATAAGTTATAGAATGTAGTGAAATTTGCTGAAAGAAAATTTAAAATATAATAAATACAGTGTATTAGGAAAGTTTAAGGAAAAAATCATTAGCATTATGTTTGTACGCCAAAATTATTAGTAAAACTTTATCATTAAACACAAATATGATTTGGATATCTAACACTTTAATACGTGAATAGTAAATTTTCTATAATATTTTGTATACCAGAATTAAATGCTGTGAAAACAATTAAAAAATTACTAGCAAAAATTCTGCTAGATTTTAATTTATTTTTTTGGTTTTTGAAAAATTTGTGAAATCTAGCTGTCAAAACTCTTTGTAATAAACAAAAATCTATGAAAATTTTCTCAATTATTAAAATCTTTCTATAGTTTTTTTTTTTCTTTAAGCAGAAAGAAAGAAAAGACTTACAGATTTATTTAATAAAACATATGCCCTTGTGTAAATAAATTAATTGATAAGTAACTAAACAACTTAACACTTTTCTTAAACAAACATTACAAAAAAAAACTACTTTTGACTACTAAAAAATAGTTTTTGATAAGAAAAAACTACTTCAAAACTACTACTAAATGTACTATCAATTTAATTATTGATTTTTATAGCCCACAAAGAACTCTTGGCTTTAAGATATATTTCTACTACCTTTCAAATAGAAAGGAACACATCATTTAACTGATTTAATTGAGTTAAGTCATGAATAAATGACTCAAATAAGAACACAATTAAGCGAAAATGATAAAATCTATGAGATCTTTTATATAAGTATATGAAAATGGTTTGAAAATACTTAAAATTTAGGAGTCACAAAGCAATAAAATCATTATTAAGATTGTGATGTTTGTCACACATTCTCTTCATATATCTCTTTTATTTCTCCAATCACTCAATTAAGCACTTTTACTTTCTTAACTTACTTGAACTCTTAAAATATAAGTTATCTCTCCAGGTAAGCTATAAGCTAATACTTTCATCTTGATATCTTCCAGTTTTATGCATTGAATGTTACCCGACTTTTTGGAGATGTACATATAAAATTTTCAAATAAATTCTCTCGAGAAATTTAAGTTTCTCTATAAATAAAAGAGGGATTTGTCTTAAATATAGAAAGATAATTATAAAAAATAGATAACAAGCATAAATGTACCAATTAACTTGCAACTATTGAAGAAACTACAACGGATACATATATTGCTATTTGAAAATGGTTCTTTCTTAAAGAGACTGCTTATGAAATTTTTAAAAGTTGCTACTTTCAGTCAATATGATTTTTATTCTCACATGTGATAAAAAAAAATAGCTAATTTCTGTATTTTTCTACATTTTATGATTCTACTTTCTCTTCAACTATTTTTATGTGTTACAAATAAAATATAAACAATTATGTAGATTTAAAACAACTATTTAGAAAGAAACATTACCTTTAGATCCCTAAATGATGATTTAGAAATGATAGTATTGCTTTATTATTTCGGTCACCTGTTAGATGTTTGCTCTTGAAGTGCACCAGTAGTTAAAAGTTCAATTTCTGTTATTAAACGTTCCGTTTCCATATCAAGCTGGCTAATTTGTGTACTAAAATAGAAAAAATTTGAAATAAGAAATCAATCATGAGTTAGCAGATTGTCATTATAACATCAAAAACCACAAAAGTTTAAATTATATACTTAATTAATATAAGAATTTCATACAATATTTTATCTTAAATTTATTTAGTTACTTTATTTATTTGTGATTTTTAGAGGAACCAAAATTCACAACTCATCAGGGCTCGAAAAACCACCCATTGTCGGTAGTCAAAAATTCCCCGCGGACAACAAATTTCTCGAATCCGACGTCCGAGCGGATGGCCGTTTCCCCGTTTATGCTCGTGATACAGGTTCAATTTTTGGTAACTTACAAGAGTCTAGCGCCTCACTTCTAAAATGACCCTCTAATCTATAAATCGAGGTTATTTCTTTTATTACTGTATAATGAAATTCTAGTATTTGTAATCCTAGTAACTACTAATTCATTGTGCAATTTATATAAATGTTTGCAATAAATAAGAGAAAATTATATTTTTATTTATTTAGAAGCGATGGATTAGTTTCAAATGAGGACGGGTACATTGTTGGACAGGACAAGGGATGTCCAACAATGCATTTCTGAGTTTTTTCGAGCCTTGCAACTCAAATAATCGTTAGGAAAGGCTCAATGAAGATGAGAGAAATTTTAATCAAGCAGCTCAGGGAAATTACATGAAACTTTTTGTCACTGTTAGACAAGAATTTGATAAAACTCTTTGATACCCTCTCTCTTTAAACCAAATTTTTATTTGCAGTTGATGAACAAGAGACTCAAAAAATCAATTATCAAAATAATTCAATCATTAAAATAATTCCAGGAAATCCTACGATATAAAAGGATCCTTAAAAAATCATTAATCCTATCCATGCTATAGTAATAAAATAACTTGATAACGTCCTAGAATATACTAAATAAATACAGAAAAAAAATAGTAGAAATGCAGCAAATAACCCAATATTATCATTTTACTCAAGCTCATTATTGCAAGAAATGTTAAAATACTTTAATAAAACTTCAGTACTAGTACAGTACAGAACCCGTTATCCGGAAATCAGAAAACCGGAAAACCAAAAAACCGGAACGAAATTCGGTAAATTTTCCCGCCATTTTTTAAAAAAAAAATTTTTTTTTCCTCGTAAAATTTTAGGATTTTTCTTTTTTGAAAGGAAGGATTTTTTAGGATTTTTCTTTTTTTTTACCATAATTTTGGAAATAATCATTAGTGTATTACTTCATATTTTTTTCTTCTTTTTAAGATTATTTCCAAATATTTTTTTTTAGTTGCTTTTAACAATAAAAAAAACGGCTTTTTGTAGCGATTCAGAAAACCGGAAAAATCAGTTATCCGGAACAGCGATGGTCCCGATCGTTCCGGATAATCGGTTCCCTACTGTAGTTGTACTTTATTTGCATTGCACTAGAGATCCACAATGGGCTATTGGCAATTGTTTAGGAAATATTGTTAAAGATGATTCAAAAACATGTCATCACATTTTGATCCTCTGCAGTTTTTCAGATTTGGATCACATTTGGATCCCCCGTTCGGTTGCCCAATGACCTGTGTACAAAGTCAAGCACTTTAAACACAGGTCTCACACCATTGGCCCCTTCACAGGCTAATCAAAGTGGTCACCCACCCGCTAACTACAGACTTGATTTTGATGATATACTACCATGTTTTATTGATCAGTTCACTGTGGAACTAATGAAACTTCAAAATCTGATACATTGTACTAATAAATATAAATTAAAAAGATAGCGCCACAAATCAGGCACTTCTAGGTATTTAAAGTAACTACATTTAATTTCAGAATAGAATACCTAGTGAAATGGCCATCCCATTCAAGCTCTTCATTTCCATTCGAGACTGGAGTAGAAGCTCTAGAACCACAACTTGCAGTAGTGTCAGATGATATATCATCCTTTCCTGGCATGTGAGAGACTGGGGATAAGCCTGGATTTTTAAAAACAAAAAGACACATTGAAAAAGATTTTCCTCCAACTTAAGACTAATAAATAAATAGCATGAGCAATTTATGATTTAAAATCTGTAGAATAAAAATCAATTAAAAAACCTATTAGTTTGTACAAAAAAAAAAAAAAAACATTTTTAAAAATCAAATTTATTTGGAGATCAATATTTCATAGAGACGATATGAATATACTGTTAAATATAATTATATTCTAAAACCAAGAGAAAATTCAATTACTGACAAAGAAAAATAAGAAATCTAATATTTTTTATAAAACCAAATTCTATACAACAGGGGATATATAGATAACGTAAAATTCACAAAATTAGCAATAAAGGAAACGAAGGAAATAAGAATAAAAATATGACCACCGAAGCTGACGTCTTCAGGGGGTACCGGCCCCGGTAGCCATAAAACAAAACCATTTCTATAGAGGGAGAAGCAAATGCCTAAATTAACTCCCTCAGTACCCCGATGGTTTTGTATAGAAGTCCAGGAAAAAAACATGAAATATAAATCTTTTATTTTTATTTTCTATCTGCGCATTGTAATAGAGGGCGTTGTTTTCTTTAGTTTTTAGTGTTTCCTTTTCACTCGGCTTGCTTGTGAAATCGCTGTTTGACCTGGTTAAGTGAGTTTTTATTTTTTTATTATTTTGTTTGAGTTTCTTTTCTAAATTCGTTTTTTGTATTTCATGTTTTTTTTCTGGAACCATCGGGGTACTGAGGGAGTTAATTTAGGCATTTGCTTCTCCCTCAATAGAAATGGTTTTGCTTTATGGCTACTGGGGCCGGTACCCCTGAAGACGTCGGCTTCGGTGGCCATATTTTTATTTCCTTCGTTTCCATTATTACTAATTTTATTCTTTTTTTGAAATTTCGGCTGCTTTTTAGCACGTTTTTTTTTCAAAACAGTTTTATCTATTTAGAATTTTAATAAATTTTTTGTTTTCTTTTAGTATTGCAAAACTCACAAAACAGAAATTTTTAGAGACTTATTCAACGCCAGTAAATTAAAAAACTGGTTTATTTGTTAATAAAAGTAGAAATATCCTACAATTGCTCTTAACTGTAAAATTCTCAATATTTTTAAGCTCTACCGCTGATTCCCTGAAAGTCTTAGTCAGTTTCCACCAGCAAATACACAACTATTAGTTGTTCTTATTTCCAATGCCATTTATTTAGTATATTAAAAGGAAACCAACAGAACTTGTCAAATTTATAATTCAGCGTGTATTTCATGTGCTTATTTTGTTCATTGTCCACATACTATAATCAAAATTTTCCTACATTAAGATTATTTCACACACACACTTCATTTCACACTTCACAATTTCACACTTCATTTTAAAATATATCCTAATTATTGATAGGTATCTAATTATAAATTTTTAACAATTTTCAATTTAAAATATAAATTACAATAACTTTCTTAAAAAAAGTTATACATTTTCCTAATTTAAAGATTTGTTTTAATAGACAAAAATATTACGCTTTAACTAACAGATTTTAAGTATCGTGAAATAAAATAAAAGTTATTAGAAAAAAAGTGAATCAACATAAAGCATGAAATTAAGTGAATTAAGTAGAAGAGTTAAAATTTTATATGACCTTTTACTAACTAGTAAAAGTAACAACTGTATGCCTTAATACACTCATGTCCATAAATTAAGGATAATTCAGAATCACACGGAAATCAAACTCTAAAATTAAAATTTCACCTGTAGAATTATCACACATATCCTGAAGAAGAATATGCAAATTACAGGAAACCACTAGATGACGCTGGTAGGACGTCACAATGACGAGAGTGTAAGAGAGGGGTATATAAGGAATGGTGGCAAAGAAGTAAAATTGTTCACAAGCGCTTTAAAAGCCTTTCAGTGCAATAACAGCATAGTTATGGCACAAAGGAAGCATTTGGATGATTTTTTACTTGGCCGAATCATCGGACGACTGGAATGTGGACGTACCCAGCTGGAAGTATCCGAGGAACTTGGAATCAACCAGAGTGTCATCTCCAGGCTTTGGCAACGATTCCAAGATGATGGTAATGTGAGTAGACGTTACAGCACAGGTCGCCACCGTGTTACAACGCCGAATGAAGACCGGTATTTGGCAGTTACTGCCAAAAGAAATAGACAGAGCACAGCATCAGGCCTGTCTCGTCAGCTCTCTTCAGCTACTGGTACGACAGTGTCAAGGCAGACCGTGTACAGACGCTAAGGGCACATTGGTCTATATGCTCGTAGGCCTGTTAGATGTGTTCCACTTACCACAACTCACTGTTGCCTGCGATTAGCCTGGAGTAGAGAGCATACATTGTGGACGCCGCATCAGTGGTCTTGTGTGATGTTTTCCGACAAGTTCAGGTTTTGTTTGCAGTCTGATTCTCGCTGGACTTTCATATGGAGAGCGCCAGGTACCCGTTACCACCAAGACAACACCATTGAACGACACCGTTACGGTGGTGCAAGACAGCTCGTTTGGGGAGGAATTATTCTTGGTTCCAGAACTGACCTGCATGTTCAGAGTGTAACGATGACAGGCCACATCTATAGGGATGTCATTCTGGAACAACATGTACGTTTGTTTCGGGGCACCATGGGTGCTGAATTTCTGTTTATGGACGACAACGCCTGTCCTCACCGTGCAAACATTGTAGACGAATGCCTTCAATCGGAGGATATCACCCGTATGGATTGGCCAGCATACTCACTGGACTTGAATCCAATAGAGCATGTGTGGGATATGCTTGTCCGACGAATTGCAGACCGTCAACCCCCTCCCATCTGTCTACCGGACTTTCGGAGGGCATTGCTTGATGAGTGGTGTAATATTCCCCAAGATCAGATTGATAATTTGATAGTCAGCATGCCTAGGCGTTGTACGGCCTGTATTGCATCGTCCGGGAGACATACTCTGTATTAACCATCATACTAACCTTGTTATACTGTTTTTTGTAAATAGGTTCTTTTTTGAAATTTGCTCCAGGGAGTAAAAATCGCAATTTTTATTAATTATGTCAAACATATAGCATCTTTTTTGCTCTTTACCTTTTGCTTAATACATAGACTTTACAAATAAGTCAAATTTGTTTGGCTTCTGTCTCTTTCTGTGCCTGAATTTCATTATCCTTAATTTATGGACATGAGTGTACTTAGGTTGCCAATATTTTTATTTTATTTATTAATTATTCATTTTATAATATTTATATGAGGGAAGTATGAAAAAAGGAAATAAGTTAAATATTTCAGACTAGTACAAAAAATATATAACTAGAGGATTTTTTATAACTTAATACATTTACATTATTAACTAAAATCAGAAAAAATATTATTTTTAATAATAAAATAACAATTATATTTAAAAAAAAAATTTAAAAAATTTTAAAAAATACATGTAGACAAAATTTTACACATTCATAATTTTCATGAACTGCTACAACTTATATTAGTTTCAGATACGAAAATAGATTATTATTGCCAAATTATGATATTCATGAAGAAAAACAATTAAATACCTTGCTCAGTCTCCCATTCTAAATCTACGGAGGAAGTTGGGCTGCTACAGCTAGCATCTTTTTTTTGTTTCTCATTGATGGAAACATCTGTAGAAACAAAATTAATATCTTCATTAGAAGTACTCCTAAGTATTTCTTAATAAGTTTATTGAAAAATAAAAATTATTAAATTTATTAAACAAATAAATAAAAATTATATTGAAAACCGACAAGCTTTTAAAAAATTTTAAAGCTCAGCATATATTTTCAATTAAATACATTAATATTCCATTCAAGTCTTAATACTAAATTACATATCTATTTAATATAATAATAATTATTAATATAATAATTATTATAAATGTAAGAAAATAAGTCCACCCACCTCCAAAATTGGCACGAGACCTGCTACTCACAGAATAAAACCTCTCTCTAGGGGAAAAAAAGCATTATTTAATCAGTTTTCAAAATTAAAAATTATGCAAATATACAAAACAGGTAATTAAACACTGCAACCTTCTTTTTCAGTAAGCACAAAACTATTATTAAAAATAGGGAAGAATAGTTTTAGAGAAAAAGAAAAGCATTTCCATATGTTGTTAATAGAATGCAACGTTTCGTCAAAAGGAATCACAAATATTAGTTTAACCAAATATAAATTTTACTATTGTCCCGCAGTGGACTGATCGTTAAGACACGGTTCAAGCATCACTGGCTGCAGTCAGTGTGCGGGTGGGTGACCACTTGCATCAGTCTGCGTAGGGACCGAGGGTGTGCGGTATTGGTCCTCGTTAAACTGTTCTACCGTAAAGTGCTCGACTTCGCGTGCAGGTCGTCGGGCTACCGAAGCGGGGGTGCCATCCCCTCTGCGGAGGATCGAAATTGTGATGGCATGTCTTCGGATCATCCTCAGGGATGTTTCCCAGATCGTCGCCAATAGCCCATTGTGCAGCTCTAATGCGACGTAAATGAACAAAAATTTTACTATTATTAGTCATTTAGAGTTTAGTGTGTCAATGTTTTGAAGCAAAAATTAGAAAGATTTTAACATAAATAAATTATGAAAAACAGAATTTCACTGCAATTTTTTTCAAAATAAATAAAAAATTTTCAAAATACAATTTGGCATTGAATAAATTATTTTCATACATAGATGAAACTAAATAAACTAAAAGAAATTATTAAAACTTTAAAAAAATTTAAATAGATTTTAAATTTTTTTAAAAATTTAAATGTGTTATGCAATTCTTGAACTCTGTCTATCTTTATGGCATGAAAGTTCAAATTTAGACAAGTTTATCATTTAACACATATGAGCTTATTTCTTCAACTGTTTCACCTACTTTAATGCATCATTTTTCTATTCGAACAAGTTTTCTTTTCAGGAAAGCAGTAGGTCGGAAGAAAGTTATGTATTATTTACAGTACCATTAGAGTAATTATTATGGGCAAGTTAAAAAATTACTAGCAGTTATGAAAGTGGAAAAAGAACAAAGTCTAAAAATACCTGTCAAATCAAATCAGAAAAAAATAAATAAAAAAGTGCATGAAATAATTTTGCACAAAAAGAAAGCATTTTAGTTTATTACATACTTATTTAAAGCCTATTTTTATTTACATGCACTAACTTTTAAGTTTTAATGTCAGAAATAATTAGCTTTAATGTAAAGAGAATAAAACAAAGTATAACAAAATAATAAATACAAAGAATTCTACTAGAGTTTAGAAATACAAAAATTTTGCCAAAAGTCGGAAGAATCTCATAATTTAACTAGTTAGAAATAGGAAAAAAAGGCGGTTTCAAATTACATTTATTTCAGCATACCTGAAAATATTGAGGCAAATAAAATTTGGTAAAAATGTCACACAAATGTTTAGAACAGCGAGTAATAACATAAAAAATATTATCAAATTTTGAAAATACCTTAAACACACTTATATAAAACTAAGGGTTTACGATTAAGAAAATTTAAAAGAATTTTTTTTTTATTAAACATAAAATAGAAAACATACATATTATAATGGGAAACGTTGTCAACAGCAAGTTTAGCTGGATTTATTAATTCAGTTGACTTTTCTGCTATATCTTTCACTTTAATAGCCTCATTGTATGCATCAATTGCAACTGCTTCTTCCTGCAATTCAACCTCTTCATTTTCAAATCCCAGCTATAAACAAATTAAAATTTAATTCAATAAAAATTTGTTTAAAATAATTGTAAAATAGTAAATAAAATAACAAGCAGATTAAATCTGAATTATATAAATGATATACTCAAACAATAAAAAGACATTAGGTAATCATGTTTAATTTTAGCTGCTTTACCAACATTACCGCATTACCCTTCTTAATTAAATTATTTTTTATCATGAAATTTTTTTTTTCTCTTTGGACATTTCCGAAAACAAACAACATAATTTTTTAAAGATCGATTGTTAACATTTTAAAATATAATAATAAAGACATTTCCAAAAACAAACAACATAATTTTTTAAAGATCAATTATTAACCTTTTAAAATATAAATAATCTATCGAATGAAATTTGCTAGAATCAAAAACACAATGAACAAAAGCTGATCATTTTGTGTTATATGAAATAAAAAATGTGTTCCATATAAAATTAAATCTTTGCACAGATAAGCATTTCAATTATATTGATTTTAGAAAAAACTATTGTTTAGAAGCATAAGAAAATCACATGGATACACAAATCAGACAGATCATTTCAAAAATTGTCAAAAATGAATAAGGATCAGTCCTCAGAACCAAATAAGTATATATTTTGCAATTCATATGCATTCTATTATGCAAATCACAATACAATATGATAATTTAAAATCTTTTAGACTTATTTCTGGACAAATAAATGATTAAAACTAGCAATAAACAAAACTTTAGATAGCACAAAGATCTCTTTGGGAATTTATTATACATTTGGGAAATCTGAAACAGAAATAGATAATTAATGTCTAACAATACTTTGAAAGAAAATAAAGTAAAAATTAGTAAAGCTCATAAAAAAAATTATCAGTAGTATGTTTATTTATGTGAATATCCTAGTCTAAAAATACTTTCAGGATACGCTAAGACACCTGCAATCTCCCAAATCAGTACGTAAATGATGCTGAAAACAAATGACAACAAATGGATGTTATATAACACATTTAGTAAGTTAATTTTGGTGATTTTGGGAAGATTTGAATACCCTTAAATTGAGCTGCTTTCATTTTAAATGTTGTAAATTTTTTAGAAAAGAAATTACTTAATTTTTAAAAATACATAAATTAAAAGGTAACACAAAATCACAAAGGCGGATACAACAAAAGACTAAAATAGAATTTTTGGAATAACTGGCAAAACAAAACTGTATAATAAGCACTTTCTTCCCGAGTTATATATTGAAAGTAAATTTGATAGCTACATAAATGCCACATTGAAAAATTAAAACATAGCGAGAAACTGCATATGGACGCTAAAAAAAGAGATGATTTAAATAGTAGTACTAATTTACAGCATTCAAATTACAATTTTCTACAACATAGATTCTCGACAAAACATTAGAGGTTGACAGTTAGAGGCTATACAATAATTAGAGATTGTCTAACATTTCTGAAAAATAGCAGCAAATTAGTTGTAAAAAATTTTATTATTTTAGTAACTTCCCCAACATAAAAAATGAATTCTGAAAGGTTTAATTTGTTTGTTCATGTTGCACAAATGGACTATTGATGTTTGTCTGTGATTCAGTATTAGCGAGGATTCCAGTACATATCATTTGTCTCTACATATCGATTGTCTCAGTGTAATGCATGTGTGCAATACACAAACAAAATTTTAATATGGAAAGCAATTGGAGTAGTAATCACCTCATCTCTGTAACAAGCTTTTTAAGTGAACATGGACTTATAATCTGCAAGGTAAATTAGAGTGAATTTTGAACTACTAAAAGTACAATCCAATCAGCACAGGAAACTGCAACACATCACAAGTTGTGGTAAGTGAAACTTTACCAACATATTATGAAGAACAAGGGTTCAATCCCCAGCGGTGACTTGAAGCCTACCCAACTTCAGATTGATGAGTACCAGATTGTCTGGGAAGTAAAGACGGCCAGTGTGCAGTGCTGACCACATTGCCACAATCATGCCATTGGTCTTAAAATTGAGGAGCCTTAACTTCCATGACCCCCTCTGGCCCACAGAGGACAGTCGCGGGAATGCTTTACTTTTACTAACTGAACAGTAAATTTGAAAAATATACAATTGAAATTAATCAAAAAACAGTCAAAATCTTTCCCAGTTCTTAAAAACATTGCCTTTGACAACTAAGGTTGTTTTTCGGAAGTTCCGTTGTCATATGAAATTATGATTTTTTGCTATTTTCATAACTGCTGTGAGTTAGCAGTTACTCATAACTGTCGGATCAAGTTCAGCCTATCTAAAGTCAGTAATTCTGAATGTTGATTCTGAAAATGGTATACCTATGCATGAAAATGGAATACCTATGTTGATTCTGAAAATGGCACAAAATGTCAATATGGAGAAAACCATAGTTTTGTGAAAATGAAAAATTTTTGTGGTCTAATTTTTTAATATTTAAAAACTTATTCTAAAGCTGCATTATCTAGGCAAATAAAAAAAATTTCAAAAAAGGAGAATAAAGCAGTGATTTTGGTAAATTTCATCTAGATGGAAAAATGTTGCCCAATTGGAGATTTTTAAAAAAAAGTTTAATAGCATTTAAATTATTTGTCCATTCTAAAGCCCAGATAATACTTCAGGGCAAGATGATATAAATAGTTTAAAATCATCCCATTGCTTTGAATGTAAGGCACTTAAAATGAGGCTTTTTTATTTTCTTTGAAGACAGATCTTCCAAAAACCTTGTTAAAATAACAGTTAAAGACTTGAAATGATATAAATTTTAAAGAAAAAAGGTTATTTAAGGATAAAATTGTGGGAAAAAAAAACTTGGTGTTTTTCAATGTGCTTAAGAGTTAGTTTTTAAATACTTCTGTGACAGCAGGGAGATAAATAAAAAAACACAAAACTCACCAAAAAGTAAAACGGGAAAAAATTTTAACTTTTTTTAGCCTTTTAAAACATTTAAAAATAATTCATCAGTTGCTAATAATTAGAAACAAAAAGTACTCAACTAATTAAATAATAAACATGTCTTACATATCACATTTTTATTATAATTTTATATTATTCATTAATTTTTATAAGTGTTTCGTAATATTTGACAAAGCAAAACAGTAATAACTTCACAAAATGAAAAAATGATCATCTAGATAAAACAAAAAGAAAGATATATAAGACATTGATAAGAAAGAAAGAAAATGTTTCCATGCAACAAACATAATACCAGCACTACAAAATCATCTATTGATGTGCACAAAATAAAAAAAAATCATAAGGTACCTGGTATAAAACATCTGAATCTTCACTTTCAGAATCATGCAGAAGAGAAACATCACTAGAATCTAATTCTTTTTGCTCAAGTGATGCTAAACTAAAATTTACACAAACAGAAAAAACAAAACAAAGAAAAAATTTAAAACATGATTTCATGCACTCAACAAAGGCAAAAACATGCAGGTAATTTTGTGACACAAATTGATGCAAAAATAACAATACAAAACTATAAGTAAAGAAATGGTTCTAAAGAATCAATATACTAATAAAATCAGGACTCAAAAAGTTTTAGACAAATTATTTTTTTTAAAGGTGTTATCGAAGAACTTTTGAAGATATCATATATCTCTAATTTACCATTCAAAAAAGATTTTTTGTCAAATCAATATGTTGTATTTTTCAACACAATAAATCAAATTCACACAAATAGAACTATTTTTATCTTCTCTTTATGTGTTGAATATTAGGTTTTTCATCCACCTTAATATATTAGTTAATATAATTGCTAGGAAAATTCAAAATGCTTATGATGCACACATTGCACTAATTGGTTAAAGCTTTAAATATTGAAAAAAAAAAAGGAGCAAAATATTAGGGAGGCTAAAAAAAACTATTTTACTCAACATGACTTTACGTAACCTTCATATAATTGTTATCTATTTCAAACATGATACATACTGAACATATTAGAGGAAGGGGAAGTTGGAGAAATGACATAAAACATATAAAATGAGAACTAGTGGGCTTATCTCAAGTATTTATAAAAATATTTATACATTTCTAAACTGTAATTTTAACAAACAAATAGATTTTTAAAAAAATATGAAAAGAACTCATAAGAATCATTCTGTGTAATGATTACTAAACTTCCTCTAAACATTACCTCATTTCATAGGAAAAATATTTATTTGACTCAACATATGCAGATCAATAGGGATATAGTAAAAATGGATGAAGATAATACACGAACGATTGATACTATTTCACTTGTAAAAAAAAAATATTTATTTGCTTACACTTAAGATGAATTTTGAAACTTCATTTCTTTTTCTTTGTTCTGATTTATTTCAACGTTATAAAATTTCGTTTCATTATATTTAATAGATTATGCTTTGAAATTTCAGAAATTGATAAATCCCAAAACATTTATAGAAAAATCTTAGTTAAAATCATGAAAGAAACAAAATATTTTTGTTGAGAAAAATTTTATTACATATATTGTTTCAAATATGATAAAATAAGGTAAGGATTTTTAACAGAGAATAGGAAAATAAATAAAGTTTATACTTTTATTAGACTATTTTAAAAGAATAACTATAATAAACTTAATGTTCATGACTGTAAACATGGAATATTTCAACTGCCAAATTTTAAATGAAAAACCTTATTTGTGTGGAAGTTGCAAAAATATTGCTTATCAATTTGAAACATATTTCATGTTTATGACGAAAACTGTAATATAATATGTTCAAAAATATTAGTTTAAGCTCAAGAAAAGAAAATGCAACATGATGTTGAACCTTAATATAAAAAGACCTTTTTTTTTAATTTAAGAGAAACAAAAAGCATACAAGACAGTGCACAATAAGCAATGGTTACTATAATGGCACAGCTAAATTTAATCACTGATATACATAATGCAGAAAAACAAAGCTTACCTGTCCCCTAACACAGCTCAGCCATGAAGATATGCTAAATAACAATAAAAAGCAGAAATGAAGCAGACAGAAACACAAGTTAGTTGATTTGAGAAAACTAGCAAACAGAAACATCATATAAGAAGAAAAAAATTTTTTTTGACAAGTTAGAAAATAAAACATTTGTTAAAAGAAAAATATATTTTTTACTTTGCTTGAAAATATTACATGTATTTGAAATAAGCAGCCAACATTAATGAAAGTTACACATTCAATCATTTTATGTCTATAAAATCATAATTTGTTTTTAATAACAGGCCTCAAAACTAAATTCTGGAATGGCTCGAAAAAATTAATACACGGTGCGTAGCCTAATCTTTCAAGAAAAACTAAGAACGTTTTAAGTACTTTTTAAGCGCTAAATACATTAACAAAATGCAAAATAACTTTCAAAGATCATGATAAAATAACTAGTTTCAAACAAAGAACTCTTTTCTTGATTATATTAGCCATTATAAAATTATTAAAAGATTTTTCCGTTCGCTATCAAGGGGTGGAAAATGAAGCTTGAATATCTCGCAGAATGCAGCAGAGTTGCATATGAGAGTGCAATAATCTCACAGAACCCAGCTCAGTAGTAAGTTTGTCAAAACATGTGGACTCACAAGTATTTCATCAATCATGTTAAATGATTTGAGCTGTCATACACCAACGGTATGCCGAAATAGATTGTGGTTGAAAGAATTGTGAAAACGCTGAATAGAACGATGTGAAAAGTACACTTTTGCATAATGTGTGGCGAAAATCGACAAGGCAAAGAAAAAATCTCATGTTTGAAAAGGTAAAATTAAGCACTTTTTAAAAACACACAATGAAAAAAGCACCTTTAAGGGCTTTTAAAAAAGCAAAAATAAGCACCTTTAAGCACTTTTTAAAAACGCTACACACCATGTAATAAATGGTAGCAGCTTTGAAAAATAAATTAGTCTCTTTAGCATATCATTGCCAAAAAGTATTATGTATTAAAATTACTTATTGCGAACACTTATAAAATAATTTGGTATAACTTAAATGAATGCTCAATCAAAAGAATGTTTCAGTAACATTATGATGATCTGTCACCTGCTGTTAATTTTTAACAAATCAAATTCTTTGGCCAAATGAATGCCCAATTTTGGCCCAATGTCCATAGGTTGAGTATCCTTGCATTCAATAATAAAGTTCCATTAGGCTCCTCATTACTTATCTCTTATACTCTCACTTAGTAATAACCAATTATAATAAGTTAGTTACTAGATTAGATTTCTCAATTAAGCACTGTGGCATCACAAAAAGAATACAGAAAACAGACATTTACAAAGAAGTAAGTTGCCTTTAAAAAGTAAATTGCCATGGAAAAAAAAAATTAAAAAAAACTATACCACCCAAAATGTTGTTGACCATATTAAGACTTATTGTTCTTTTTATTTTGTAGCTAGGACTGAGATCCATGATTCTTGGAACCAGGAATCAGTATAAATTTTAGTTGATTAGGAACTTTAATTCAAAAGGAAGTTTTACTTAAAAAGTAGATATGAGTCACCTAGTAGCAAAATGATAAATGACACCTATATTCTTTACACATTTATTTATTTATTATTTTAAGTAGAAATTACTTCTCTTGCAAGCAAAACCAAAACTAACTTGTGTACATTTCTGTACTTTTATTAAAAGTGATGATTTCTATTTTTCCATACTAAAAAAGAAGTTATTTATTTTCACTATAATTAAAAAATAAATAAATATATAAGTAAAAAGATTTCATTTTCAAATTTGAAACTCGGCTAGACAACTTGAATACTTTTATGAATAAATGTTATTTAAACATATCAACTAACAAATAAAATTTGTTGTTAAATTATTTAAAACGATTAGATTTCATATTTCATATATCATAATTAAAAATATATACAGCTTAAATTGAAAATTTAATTTATGAAATTATCAATAAATCCAAATGTTATTCTACCTTACTATTCAAATCATAATAATTACATAATCAGCACCTATCATAAAATATAGATAAAACTTTATAAACAAAAATAAATGGTGTTTCTGTGCAACAAATATTCAAAGAAGTTAAATCTGTAATTCTTACAAATAGCAAAGTGTAAGAATATATTTTGAAGTTATCACATCAAGCTAATCTGAATTTCTTTTCTAAAATAATTATCTCAACTCAATAACTATTATAATTTTTTAAAAAAAGTTGAGTACTTTCAATTAAATAAAATTTAATGAACAAAATATTTACAAATCATAAGCATGTTACCTAAGAGGTCTTGGAGCTGGTTCCTAAAACAAAATATAAAATAAATAAATTCATTATAACTAAGCATATACAATTAACTCAATTAGCAATTATGAATAAACTTCACAAAAATTGATTTTTACACATAGTAGTACATTGTTTAATTTCCTAATTATTAGAATGCATAACCTAAGTTTCCTGCACTTATATATAGCTTTCCTGTCCAACTAACAGATTTTCCCCCTTGTTATTCAGAAGAAAACTATTGAAGGAATAATTCAGTCCAAATTTGTCTAACAGTTTAATGTTTGGACGATTAACTTGACTATGTCAATGAAATCACTATTAAATATGAATTTTTAAATATTCTACAGAGGTGTATTTCTTTGTATGTGTCTTCTTCCTTAGAACTTTTGATTGGTTTGAAACATTTTGACACCTGATGAGCAAAAAAGTAGTTTTTAATAATGAAAAACTAAACCTAATTCTTATTGATTCACTGTATGTACTAGGGAGATGAATATGCCACAATAAGATTTTATAGCTCTTAAACATGGCAATATCCTATACATTTGAATTTACATAAAGATAATATACATTCACAAGTAAAAACTGTTTAAGTAAATTATTTTTATGTCTAACAAAAATACTGTTTTATGTATAATACTGATACAAGAAAAATTAGCAGGCAAAAAATCTACTGTTTAGTTTGCTATTTCATAGAATCTTTCTTTTCAGGATTGAAAATTATCGAATAAAAAAAACATTTAGAATGACCACTATTTTAAGAGAGAAAAAAATAATAAGCACTTTAAGTAGAGCATGAAATATATACCACTGAAAATGACATTAAGCAAACATCATTAAGTACCGTGAAACCTCAATTAAGTGGACACTTTTGGGACCGAAAGAGTTGTCTGTTTATGGGAAGGGTACCCTAATAACGAAGTTTAACACCACAAATTGTTTTTAGAACATTTTCAATGATATACAAATAAAGAACTAATCTACAATAACTATCTACAAGGATATTTATTTAAACTTTAAAAAAAAATTTCTATACAAAATATGAAAAAGTTTGATATAAATACATAATTCCAGATGCAGCTACAGATAAATTAATATGATTTTCCTATTAATGTAGATACTGAAATTAGTCATATGACTAAATAGGAGCTTTTAGTCCTCAGTCCGTTTCAATTATTAGGTCTACACCCCTAACACCTACCCATCACTTGGTAGGAAACATGGTTAATATGTCCTTAAAAATAAACCTCCCGCAATTCACAGAAATAAATAAATAAAGCAATGCATATGTAATTACAATACAGCCATCAAATTGATTACAAAATTAAAGAAATTTTCAGTGGATAAGAAGCATTGAGAGCAGTTAAGACTTCATTTCAACTTGAGGAGTTTCATAACCTGCGTCATCCAGATGAAAAGATCAAAAGATCTGCTCTCCAAATTATTTCACATGAGCAGTATCATTTCTCTCCTTCATTTGCAAAGATAAAGAAATATGACAAGAGAAATATCGATTCTTTAGCAGTGAAAAAACTTAACAATGTTTCAGTTATGGATAAGGCAAAACATTTGCATGCATTAGAAATGGTTTAAAATTGCATATTTTTTTTCCTTGGAATTTAGAGCAGAAAGTTCTTTTTTTCTTATTTTTTCATTTAGAAAAAATGGTGTCCATTTCCAAAAGATAGACAAAACCATTTCAGGACAAAAATGAATGTCCGCATCCGTTTACGGGATTATTCGCTTTGCAGAGAATGTACATAAAGGTTTATTCATAGATGATTCGCGGGGCATTAAAAGTAAATCCGTATTGAGAGGCGTCTGTTTCGTAGGAATATCCATAACCTGATTTTTCACTAAATTTTATGATTTTGCATAAAAGTATGCATATTATCCAACTGAACGCTGTCCCATTTTTTCTCTGAAAAAATGTAGGTCATAAAACCAAATTGGATGAAACTGACTTTTGCCTTTGATCTGACTGACAAATTGACTGAAACTTTTGCCTTTTACCTGCATTGATTCTAATATCAATGATAAGATGGGATAAAATGGCGCTTTAATCGAGAATATAGAAACTCAGAAAAATGTAGAAAGTAGTTAAAAACGAATAAGAACTTTGAAAACAGTGAGAAAGTAACATAGGTATTAAATGTTAATGACTTTAGTTACCTTTAATTGTGTCGAAGAATTTTTTTTTATTAAAATGTTTAAATATTTTTCTATAACTGCATCCTTAAAATAAATTTCAAAAAATTGCAAATTAGTAAAAAAATATTTCAGTTTTAATGATTTAGTCAGCTGATATTTTTATATAGTTTAAATATTTAAGACTAAATATCATTATATAACAACTTTTCTAGCAGTGAAAATATTTTCTAATATTTTACATTACAAATTATAACATGCAATAATATTAATGTAGCTTAGTTAGAGATATGATAGGACTTACATGATCAAGAAACATGTCAAACTGTAAAATGAAGACTCCAGAATTAATTAAGCATGAAATAAAAAATGTACATTTATAGCAAAATATATACAGCACAGTTTTTATTCTTTTAGGTCTTTATGAAACATGAGATTATTTAACTTGTATAAAATAATTATTATTCATTAGATAACATTTTGTTAGTAATTTTACATGCTACAAATATGAAAATTATAGAAAACTAGCTTTCAATCACTACCTCACAATTAGCAAAAACACAAAAAACAGTAAAATTTATTCAAAATTACATGCAATTTATCCCTAAACAAAAATTTATACTTTATATATATAAAAATAAATCTTACATCAACCAGCCTATCTCTATCTTCAATGGAGGAATTTCCTTGCCAGCAACTTAGGAAATAAATAAAATATGTATAAATTTTCAAACGAAAATTACTTTGATCTAAAAACACACTGAACCATACATTTAATAATTATATGGAATTTTAAATAATTAAAATTTAGAGCAAAAATTAATTAACAAAAATTATTTACCATAAACAACACATTTTATTTTTTATAAAACCTAAGAAATTCTACTGAATCGTGTTATTTTAGACACTTACAATCTATAACTTTTTTCCTTCCATAAAAAAACAAACATTAAATTAAAAATAAAAGATACAAGTTGAGTTGATAAATGCACATATACCTATCATAGTACATGAATGTAGTACAAATAAACAATACAGTTAATATAGCAATACAGCTAATATAATAAACAATATAATAATAAGATATTTATTACTGTTGCCTTGAAAAGATTAAGTGCTGCTCCATTGTACCTCCAGAACTTAATTTTACAAAAAAAAGAAGAAGAAAAAAAATATACTATGAATTATCACTGTAGCAGCATGTACAAAGTTCCTTAATGTAGTCAAAGAATACCGAAGTAAAAATTCAACTTAATCTAATGTGCCAAACATGTCAAGTTGTTGCAGATTGCAGATAAACATTTTCCATTACTAGTGATATGTATGTTTTAATGTATGATTTCTGTATGGTAAATTTGATTAAAAGAATTTTATCCACCACATCTAAATAATTCAAAGACTTGAATTTACCGAAATGTTAATGTGAAATGTAAGTGTTTTTTAAATATTATGCAGAATCCCAAGAAGATGGCATCTCTGACAATAAGATAACAAAATTTTTGAATAAAAGATCTCTCAAAATTCTATATAAAAACTTTATATCACTTAAATTTAATTTTATACTTACTAAAAAAATGGAATAAATTCCTATATAGTTATCATTGTAATCAAGTAACAGAAAGGAAAAAAAAACTCTTAACTTTTCTTTCTCAATTCAGCTTTCTAGTTTTTATCAGAAAGAAATTTATATTTTTTGCAAAGGAGACTCAGCAAATCACTCCCATTTGTTTGTTTGCTTTTTATAAATAAAATTAAAATTCAGATGAAAAACAATCTACAAATGCTGTTTTAATCTGCAATGCCCCCCTCCATGCTGGAGGGTTTCCACTACCAAGTGTATTAACAGGAATAAAGCCATGATATTTCAAATTAGCCACAATTACAGAATTTACAATTATTTTGGAAATAAAATTCATTCTCTTCATACTACCTTTTTTTTCTAACAAATATTGTTATTTTTCCCTATCGTGGTAAAAGACCATTGGTCCTCTAGCTTTTTCTGATTAACAGCCTCAGAGATAAAAAAACATAAGTTAATTTTACATTTAGAAATATTTCCATATCTGTACCTATTCACGCCACGTTCAATCATCAAATAGTTTTAAACTTAACTTGCAAAAATTAGAAATGGGTGGGTATGAGTTATACTCTTCGAATAAGTCCCTTAGTTGATGTTTTATTTTACTTTATTGCAGGAAGCTGACTGCCTAAGTTTGAAAAAAACCTGGTAATTATTTTTGTATGAATTTAAAAATATTTCCGTGCATTCAATATATCAATTTGTAAAGAGTAAATTAGAATTTAAGCACAAAAAAAAGTTCATCGGCAAAGGCATTTTTTAATTCCATCGGCATTTTTTTCATCAGCATTTTATATTGCATTTTTCAGCAGCAGTTTTTTTATTGTATACGATGCAACATCAATAGGCAATCTGATACTTTTGTGACAAAACGGGGAAATGAGTGAAACTTAATAACAAACCACTTTAATTATGACTTCGTTCATTTCATAGTGCGTATAATACTAATGACAAAATTAGTGAAAAACATTAATGAAAAGATTGATTATAGTTTAGCCGGGTAAAAGCTTGATATGGTGACATATTTAACTCATTTCGTTTTTTTTTTTTTTTTTCTAAAATAGCGTGTGCAATTCACAAGTTGTACATATTATATATATTAATTTTTTTCTAATCCTTCCTAATTCTTTGTGTGTTTCATAGTTTCATACCTCCAGCGGCGAGCTTCATTATAACACCGAGTTACACATGCACCCATTGTGCGGACGACATGAATTAAAACACAGTTTCAAATACATTATTATTTTTCACCATGGTTATCCATGGGCCAAGAATTGTAATAATTATTTTACAACGTTTTTGATCAGTCTATGAAAAGAAAACAAAAGAACAAAACATAACAATTTATCAGTGTGACTCATTCAAGAACAGACGGAAAAACCAACTGCAAAACAAAACAACGTTTTTGTTGCCATTTGGCATTTTTATTTAAAATATAAAACTGAAATAAATTTTTGTTCCTTTATTTTACTAAAGTTTTACACAGTCAGGGTTAAAAATGAAACCAAATAAATTAATTAATTTAATGAAATATTCATTCATGGTAATAAAGACACATTAACTAAAAAGGCGAACTGAGGATCTTCAATGACTTATGATAACAAAAGTTGGATCCATCAGTTTTTAAAGTGGAACTGAAGAAATTTGAAAAGTTGTCAGCTACTTTTTTTCATTTTACAAGTTTTATTTATTAACTGTAATACAAAACAAATGTTCTAGTAAGATGGATAAAAAGATTTTTTCTAAAATTCTTATTGTAGGATGCGGTTTGACAGGTAGTGTTACAGCAAATTTAATCCAACATGAAGCTTCTGCTGATATTGAAATTTGGGAAAAAGAAAATTACATTGGTACAAAATCAGTTCATTTATGTGACCATATTTTTTTAAATAAAACATTTTTATTTTTTACTGTCATTAAAAATCAAAATTTAGTATTTTTAAGCTTAGCCTAGTGATTAAAATATGTCTTTCTTTTACATATTTTATTTAAATGCATCTTAGCACTTAAAAAGAATTCACTCAGGAGTTTGCAAAATAATTTTTGCAGAATTTATGACAGAAACTAAAGCAAGTTTATTGAAATTTAGTTCTATGCAATGTTTATGATTGTTAATTTCAGGGGTGAGATTTTTCCGCTTTATAGCGGATTTCCGCCTTTTTCACTTTTGTCTCTTGAATTTCAGCCTTATTATCAAAAACTCAGATTTTCTAAAAGTTTCAGTTTTTTTTATAAATAATTATATTTATTTCCGATTTGATATATAGATATAATATATCGAAAGATAGATTGAAGATTCAAACTACGTAACTGCTAACCCTTCTAGATATCTACTTATTTTAGCTTTTACGAGCAGAAAATAAGATTTTCCTAATTTTTCCCCTTCCGCTAGATAGCTCGTATTTTAATATCAAGCATCGATTTTCGTAATTACCTGATTTAAAAGTTGCGCACTGTGATTCTTATTCACGCGATTTCAATATCGTTCATTGCATTTCTTATTTGCAAGATTTAAAAATCCAATATCACGATATGTATTGAGGCATTCAAATTCTATGTAACGATTTGTATTCACGGCGAGTTTTTCCAATGTTGTGATTCGTTTACGCGGTTGTAATATTCAACATCTATTTTCGTATTTACACGTGATTTAAAAATTAGCCTTTGGATTCGTATTCACGCCATTTAGAAATTATGCATCGTAATTTGTATCTACGCGATCTGAAAATTACGCATCATGATTTGTATTTTCACATTTTTGAAATCCAATATCGAGCTTCATTCACGTGATTTCAATATCGTGATTTATGTTCACGCGATTTTAAAATCCAAGATCGTGATTCTTGTAAAAAGTAAGTTTTTTTTAAAATTAGTTCCTATAAATGTGTCAGTTTTTCTATCGACGATTCTTGCTATATGTTGACATTACAACATCAGCGAAATCATTACTATGTTGACATTACAACATCAGCGAAACTGGATAAGAATATGTTACTGATATTTTTGCTATAAATCACAATTTACTTGCATGAAAATTCAGCTTTTTTGCCTTTTGGCCAATCTCATCCCTGTAATTTTCATTGCTTCCTCATCATTAATCCTCACTAAATAGTTCACCTTTAACAGTGTAAACAATTTCTATATTTAAAAAAAAAGTAATTAAATTTTAATATAAAATGGTAAAAACAAAAGATAATTTTTTGCAGTAAAAAATTTGTTCCCCAATGCAAGAAATAGCATTAGTTATCTTGAACTGATTTTCTATTTCTTAATTTTTTTGGTAATGTATTTTATGTTTTCTGTTATTTACTAATTTGGGTGAAAAACTCTTCTACTGTAATATATAAGATTTATAAATATTGATTTAACTGCAGTTTCTCATTTATGAATTTTAGGAGGCAGATTTCATACATTCCATAATCCAAGTGAACCAAATTGTTCTGCAGATATGGGTGCACAGTACGTAAGTGCCACTTTGGAGTTCATTCGAAGTCATGCAAGGCAAGTATATAAAAGAAAATTTAATCGTGTGTCTTTGTTTTATGTGACTAATTCTTTAATTCATGTTATATGTGATCAAACATTGTTTTCTAATTTATTATTTTGTCATATGTTTTTAATTATTTAATTTTCAAAGTCGATTACTAAGCTTTTTATGAACTTATAAATATTGACCCTAATTTCTTGCTTTGAATAGTTCAAAATTTCTTAACTATTCTGATTAGATTTTGAATCTACATATTTTTTTCAAAAAAGTAAAATTAATATTTCAAAAATTATAACTAAGAGATTCATTATTTTAACCCAATAACAGTGTTGATAACTGATATACAGCTATTAATTGTAGCTCAAATTTTTATTGCTATTTATCCTAACTATAGGGGAAAAGAATTTTTAAATGACTTTGAGTAAATTTTGATACATTTCTCACTTACAAGTGTATATGGATTTTTAATAATTTTAATCTACAAAAGTTGAATAGTAAATTTCGTAACAGTGAGCATGAGTGTTACGAGAAATTGTTGCTGTCAAAAATCCTTTTTGCTATTTGTCATATGTTATATGTTAAATAATATTGTAGTTTAAATTATTATAGGAAATTTTTTAATTTGTATTGTTTATTTATGTATTTTTTAGGTTTTATGATGAATTACTTGATAAAGATGAACTAGTTCCTTTAGGTCAGAAAATCGAAAATTTCCGAAAACTCTCTGAAAGTAAAATGAATTTGGTTGCACCAGGTGGTACTTCGTCACTCATTCGGCACTTTTTAGACAGAGCAGGTAAATAATAAGTGTATGAATTGATGTTATTGTTATTTTAAAAAATATATTTTACAATATGTTTAGCAGTTCTAAAAAATGTATATTGGTAAACTATAACTTAGTTTACAAATACAGTGCACTCCCGATTATCCGGGTTAATCACCAAGACAGGTAGCACGGACAATCAAAAACCATGGATAATCCGAAAACTCTCTTTTACTAAAGAAAAAATCAATATCAGTACAAAAAATATAAAAATTACTGACATTTGCATGCTGTTTAACATAAAACAAGTAATTTTCCTTTTAAAAAAATGTCTAATGCGTCTTCGCCATATATCGATACACATATTTTACGAACCTCAGTAATGTCACCGTAATCAAATCCTCCCATGTAATCTAATAAAGTTTCCACAGAGCAGCAGAATGAGAAAGTGTATTTCTCTCATTTACTACATCTTCTGCATCAGTTACTATCATCACTATTTGATTTAACAACAAAACGATGCCTTCATCTGTCAAATACTGGAACCCAGGCTCGCATGCATCACTTTGAAACCAAACTTTTAAATTTTCTTCGTCAAGAATTTCGAAACCTTAGATTTCTTTTGCTTGTTCAAGAATACTGATATCATATTTTTCTTGAATATTTCAAGAAGATTATTCATCAAGCGGTATGATCTTTCTCCACGATCGTGATAACGTAGACGATTTTACCTTTCGCCATGCTGCTGATATTCCATATACTGCAATTCAATACGAATATTGCTTCGAAAAATTTGGTTGTGTTATAAAACTTGAAAATATTTTTCTTTATTTTTTTTGTGTGACTCCCGAATGAGCACGGATAATCCGCAAACCGGATAATCCGCGCACAGATAATCGAAAGTGTACTGTATTTGCTATTTATTTATTCCACTGTATTTGACTTTGAGAAGGTCTATAAAACTATATTAATTATATTTAAAAAAAACTATTGACTCCATTAAATTTTTAAAATAAATTTTAATGATGAAAAATCTAAGTTTGTAGAAGTTCTTATAAAATAAATTTTTGTACTGTTCAATGCATATCACAAATAATAACCTCCTACTGTCATTATGCAAGTTTTTGCAAAACAAAAGTGTCTTAAAAATTTTCTGAATAAAATGTATTTTATGCATTTAGTTTTAGTAAAAATGTTTTCAAACTGTGGCAAAAAAATATAAATTCTAGAAGATACCTAGAAAATATTTATTTTATAATATCCTGTACTTAAAAAAAAAATTTTTTTTCTTTTTTTTTTAAGTTAGACTCAGTTAAAAAGAAATTTCAGTATTAATCAAGGAATATAGAATGCATTAAAAATATCTTACACTACTGTATTTTTATTTTCATAGTTAAAAAAATAAAAATATATCAAAATTAAGGTGTGATATTTTGATTTATATCTCTTTTCAAAAATCATTACTTGCTCAGCAATCATAAATATTCTTGTTAACCTCTATCATTAATGTATATAACCTAAATCATTAACGTGTATTATGTTTTCCTTTTATAATAGTGGTAATAAAAAAATATCTTTGTAGATGCCACAGTGCATTTAGGATATGAAGTAACAGAAATGAATTTAAAACCTGATACAAGCACATGGGAAATTAAAGCTAGTAATGGAATTGTAAAAGAATTTAATGCTGTTATACTAACTATACCTGTTCCAGAAGTTTTGAAATTAACTGGAAATTTTCAAAAATTAAGTAAGTTTTGTGCAATGTTTGCTGGTGTATTTTTTGTAAATTTTCAGAATCAACACTTCATTTACTCTGCGCAAATGTACCTATCAAATATTTTATTTTTTTAAACTTAAAGGAAATAAATAAATAAAATTAAATATGGTGTTTCATTTTTCCCTTTTTCTGATATCATTAGTAAAATAAAATGTTGTAGCTTTTTTTAAAATTTTTTATAATTGGTAAAATATTTTAATTTCGTTACAAAAATTTTAGAAATTTTATTTCAATATATCAGGAGTTACAAAACTTGGATTATTAGGTCTTGCAATATGGATTATCAAAATTTTTGTTTCTTTTTAAAAAAAATTTCTTAAAATTTTACTTTTTAATTAAATTTTAGACATGTTTCATAAACACATTATAACAGGACATATTTAGATTTATTTTAGTTTATTTATCTTATTATTTTAGAAGACTCTTAATGTTCTTCATGTGATTCTATTTCATACAAAATCAATCTTTTCTTCAGTTCATTTTTTTTTTTTTTTTCAAATGACAATTTAGCTTGACACTGTTTTTTTAGAAACAGCTATTTTACTCAATGACATTTCATTGAAAATGCTATTTCAGAAAAAATTTTTAAGTTGCTAAGTCTATAGAAGCATTGGTTTTGCCGTAAAAAGATTGGGAATCTCTGCTCTATAAGTTAAGCACTTTTTTCTGTTTTATATATATAGATATATATACACACGTTTTTTCAATTGTCATTCTATATATGTATAAATAATATTAACATAATTAGTATTATTTTAATGAAATGACAATTGATGGGAAATTTTAATCTCTTTAAAGTTAGTTTTGAAGAAAAAAATTATTGCTATATTTAATGTTTACTAATGTCTTCAAAATAGCTTTGTTCAACACTAATAATTGCAGATTGCAGAATAAGTACATGTAAGAAAATTTAATATCTTTTAAAAGGGTTTAAAAACTTCATTTACATTTCATGCAATGTTTGTTAATATAATTATTATGATTCTTTGAAATAATTCTTATCATCAATTATAAATTGATTATTTTCTAGAATTACACTTATCAGCTATCAATTGTTAAAGCTTTTAATTTTGAATTTTGTATTTATAATCTTTTTGTATTTATTTCAGATCAAGATGATGACATCAGAATGGCAATGGAGCAAGTAAAATATTCCTCAAGATATGCTGTCACCTTGATGTATAACCAATCACAGAATGTTCTCGAAGAATTGCCTTGGTCTATGAAATATTTTCCTGATGATGACATCATTGCTTTTATAGCTCTAGATAATCGTAAAAGAGGTTGACTTAATTTTGCTTCTTTTTTTTTTATAAAATCTTTATTTTAATTAAAACTGAGTTTTGTAAATATTACTTTCTTAATACAAAAATCTATAAAATATAAACTTGATTTATTTTTCTGTATATTATGTTATCAACAAAGTGCATTCCATCTAGAAATTAATTTTTCACACTTATCAAATGTTTTAAATTGTTCAGCTAAGTATAAAATAATCTGAATTTTGAATTTACCTACAACTAGATTTAAAAACTTAAAAGGAAAAGATTAAGTGAAATATTAATTTAGATAGCATATTAAGTTTGATAGTTCTTAATTGTTTTTAATCTTGCATGGTATCATATTCTCATTTTAAAGTGATATTCTCATATAAATTACCTTCAATTGTAATTCCATTTTTCCTAACCTTCTTGATTTATTACAGATTTCTGCAATCAATAAATGTTAATATTGCTTTGAATGATTTAAAGATAATTAGCAAAGTCCATGATTATAAATTTTAATCTTTTTAATTCAGAATTTTCTTTTTATTATACCTGTGTGATAGCAATAGAAAAATTTTATATATTGGCATAATAAACTTTAAATATTACAGATAAATTTTTTTTACAAAATGCATTTGGACCTCTGTAATACCATTTATATTTCAGGTCAACCAAACGAATTGCCAGCTTTAGTTATGCACACAACTGTTAAATTTTTTCATAAATACTCTGACTCAAGTGAAGATGAAATAAAAGATCTTGTACTTAAGCAATTAAAGTGCCTTGTAAACAATGTACCTGAACCATCTCATGTAGAGTGCATTAAATGGGATAATGCTCAGGTAATCAGTTCTAAAAAAATTTCGTTCATGTTTTAATTTCCATCTTTACTGTTTCTATGCATCAAAATATTCTCTATCAAAATCTAGACAGCTGTGATGGCTAGGGGGATTGAGTGTTCACCTCCCAATGAGGTAACCCAGGGTTGGGTCCCAGCAATGGCTATTTAATACGAATTCTGATCCCGGTTAGCTTTGACCACAATGCTAACATAAAATATCTTCAGTGATAAATATACCATGGCTACAGAATTGAACATTGGTAGTTGTAAACTCTGAATTGGTTCGGCTGTTCTACAGTTGGATGTAAAAATATAAAATAGCAATCTAAAGTTTATGTTAATTTTTTGCAATTTTTCCTCATTATAATAAGTGCTGTCTAAATCAAAGATTGCTAATTTTTTTCTGATTTTTATTTATTTTTATAGTGTAATTATAAATAAAAATTAAAAAAATAATTAGAAATATCTTCTATAGATTTATGAATTATATTCTAATTTTTTTACTTCTGATTTGTGAATTTTATTCCTTATAACATTGTATTATATTAGCTTGCAGTGAACAATAATGTTTAATTAAAAAATTTAAAGTTGAAGCTAATTCTGCTTTTAAATTTCATTGATATAAAATATGATACAATGTAATTAAAAATTAAGATTTTAAACTACATTGATTGCTATAACATATTTGTATCTAACTATATGCTACTTTTAAAGTAAAGTTAAAATGCATACCTCTGACAAATTATAATAAGTTTTCGAAGCTATATAATTTTTTTAAGAATTCATGTCTTTGTGAATAAATATTTTTAGAAATTATAAAAGTGTTAAGTACAATAAGAGTAACTAAAAAGTGATGAAGAGTTAAAGTGTAGAATTATTTTATGGCTTCTCTCTTTTAACTCCCATTTACGCAAGTAAAATTTAGTCTTGCGATCAAACTTTTCACCTTTTCCGACAATCTAAAATACTCCAATCTCTAATAGAGTTCTATGCCTGATGTTCAACAACTACAACTTCATTTCATTTCCAGACTGCTACAAGCAGAGTTTGTTGTCAAACAAAACCACTTTCCAACTAACTAGATAGCTAAAATCTTCTTCGGAACCCCCTTTTTGGAGAATAATACCTTTCAAATGTTTTCTGTCCACTACAAAAGATATTTTATCGTGAAATAAAATTTATACATCAATCTAAATTTCAACACATTTTAGCTGAAATTCTGATCTTGATTCCCTTGTAAGTTAAATTGTTTCCTAAATGGTTCAAGCAAAATTTGATGCCAAACAAAATTTATACTACTTTTCAAAATATGTAAACTAACAGACACAGAACATTAGAAAAATAGTTATAAAATTAAATTATTTAAAGAAGAAAAACATTTTTTAGGTTTGGGTATAGTTTTTTTTTTTTAATTTAAACGACTTAAAACTCCTCATGCACCACAAAGTATAGCATGAGGCTTACAGTTGTAAGTAAAAAACAAAAGGAGAAAAATTTACAAATTTACATTAAAAACAAAATTCCGCAAGGCCGCAAGACTTTCAATACTTTTGACCAGTTCTGATAAGACAGGTGGCCAACAAATTGAAAGACGTCTCAAATCAGTCTTTAAATTCATTCGGGCACTCGCATAGAGACTACAGTGAAGAAGAATATGTTCAGCATCTTCATCAGCATCACCGCAAGCACAAATTCCACTGGTCTGCAGATGGAAACGAAATAAATATCTCTTAAAATTTCCATGGTTTGTTAAAATTTGGGTCAATTTAAAATCAGTTGCAAAGAATTTACATTGCAAACGGTGAAAAATGGATGGAAAGAACCTTTTCGTCCAAAGCGACCGAGGCGAAGCAAGAAATTCAGCATTCCAGTCCGCAATGATTTTATCTCTAGCGATGCGCTTCCAGTGAGAAGCTGGAACAGACACCCTTAAGTCTATTTCACCACACGTAGCTTCCCTAGCCAATTGGTCTGCTCTTTCATTGCCCAAAATACCGCTATGGCCACGAACGTAAGAAAAATGAATAGTTACGTTTTCAAGAGCGTTCAAAATCGAGTGAATTTCCACCACAAGCTTCTCAGTAGAAGTCGTGTCACGCAAAAGAAAAAGTGAAGAAAGAGAATCTGTACAAATGAGATATTTAAAAATTTGATTTTCACTAAAAGAATTTTGTATCCACTTAACAACCAGGTTTATACACAAAAGTTCAGCCTGGAAAACAGTACATTCATTATGTAGTCGGTGCTTGGCAGTAACCTTCTCTGTTCCATTTTCATAAATTACAAAAGCAAGACCAACCCTTCCATCAAGCTTACTACCATCCGTAATTTGGGTATAGTTAAAAGGAGAAAATAGTTTTATTTTTGTCAGACCTAAAATTCAAAAAAAGGGGTGCTCCATTTTCATCTTCTATCAAGTACCATCACGCAAAATCCTCCCCTTCTCAAAATTCAACATGTTATTTTATTATTATACATTTTCTTGTTGTCTTCGGAGAGTTGTCTAAATAATTCTTTAACCTATGTTGCTGACTAGTTACAATGTAAAGGAATTATTAACATTGCAGTTAGGCTCCTTGTGCAGCCTTTAATTTATGTACAATTTCAAAACTGATAACCTTCTTTTTTTTTTTTAATTTTCAGAAATATTTCATTTGTAAACCTATAGTGATGCGACTGACTTCAAGTCTAATTTCCGCTACATTCGCTGCGTCATGTCAAAATCAATGATAGCAAATGCAGTCATGATCCTTTGTCATAATTTTGTTAAATGATGTGGCATTGAACACCACATAATCTTTGATAACATTCGCTGCGTCATGTCAAAATCAATGATAGCAAATGCAGTCATGATCCTTTGTCATAATTTTGTTAAATGATGTGGCATTGAACACCACATAATCTTTGATGTAACCGGTGGAAAAACTCACGGGGAGCATGGTGGTTGTTTTTTTTTATAAGACTTCCAAACTCCATAGAGAATTGTGACTGACCCTGTATGTAGCACATTTTTTTTAAAAAAAAGTCTTAGTAAAATTAAAGTAATTTCTTACTTTTAATGAAACTATTGCTGTGGAACTGCTTGAAAAATATATTTAACATATTTGTTTTTCATATCATAAACATATTTATTTTTATTTGACAGGTTATTGATGCTTATATTGATAATCCTGGTTGTGTTGTTTTAAATGCACACCCATGCCTCATTTGTGGCGGTGATAGCTTTACAGAATCCAACTTCAATGGTTGTATTACATCTGCCTTGAGAATAGTAGAAGAACTGTTAAAAGGGGTTACAATATCGAAAAAATGTCACAAGTCAATTAAAAAGTGATGTAAACTAATACTTCTATATTCAAGTGTATTTTTTTATGAAAGTTAATTTTTTTATGTAATGGCTTTTGCTGAGAGAGAAAATTTGAAATATGATTTAACTAATTTAGCTTTGGTGTATGTTTTTAAAAATATTGCAATGTATTTATTAATTTAAACCATGTTTATTTATTATTAATATGTTTTATAGCGTTTGCGTTTAAAGAAAATTTATTTTATGAAATTGTTTAGCTTGCTATATAGTGATTTAAAGCTATGATAAATGTATTATATAATTGTATCTTGCACTTAAAAATGTAATTGTAAAATAGTTTACCATCAAAAAATACACTTTGAAGAATAGCATAAGAAAAGTTAAAGATAGATGAAATATTATGGTTTATGGTAAAAAAATCTTACTCTGCAAATTATACCTCAGAATTTAAAAAGTCATTTTATCATAATTTTATTATAATCACTAAAATTGTACTGAACTTGAACTTCTACTCTCTCTTTAATTGAACAGGGTAATTAAATTTTTTTAAAAAGTAGACTACTAGAGTGTTATTTTTAAAATTTTTTTTAATTAATATATGGTAGAAAAGTTATTTTTTCTATTGCTTTAAATATATTTCGATTAATTAAAACAGCAAAACAATATCTCTATAAATTAATTTCTTATATTTGCAGCTATAATCTAATGGCAAACCTTATTCCACCTATCAGTTTTTTTTTATGTTATATTTATATTAATTTAATAGTACATTGAACACCAAAGTAATTTAATTGTAAGCCTTTCTTAAAACAAATCCTAAAATTCTTCAAATTAAAAAAGATGAGGAAAAAACTGTACAATTTCATAATTTTGACAATTATCAACACTCAGATTCTTCATTACCTATGATTAATAACTTCAGTGTCATAATCACTTCCCCAATTCTCCACAACAGTTCCAAAGTTCTGTAATATATTAGTAAAAAATTGATCCAAGACATGCACATAAGCACAAAATTGCTCCAAGTACACTCTCGATATCTCAACGTTGAAGGGATGCTAAAAAAAATTTCGAGATTGCGAGTTTTTAAAATAACAAGTTCAGAACTAAATATGTTCTAAAAAGTAGAGAAATATATTCTAAAATATTGCTCTAAAAAGTAGAGTCATGAAACACAAGAATAAATACTTACTATTAAATATGTATGTAATGATAGTTGACTATAAGTCTAATTACAATAATAATAATTTTATTTTTAAAAGTAAGACAAAAATAATTATGCCTTTAAATGGAAAAGAATTGGTTTCCACTTAACTTACTTTGTAATTTTTCTGAAAAAATTCAACATAGCAAGGTTTTGAGAAGAAACTCTTCGACTCAGAAATTCAAATTAACATTAGGTTGATATATAATGCCTAGAGGAAAGTATTTTTTTGACATAACAGGATTTTGAAGTAATCTGAGTTCATTATATTGAGAGTGTACTTTATATTATTGCAAAAGTGGGATGTTTTTAATTTTATTTAGGTCAGTATTGTTAATAAATTTACAAATCCCAAAAAAAATAAAATTATAATTTAAACGACTTTATGAGTATAAAACTTAAGTTATAAAACTGAAAACTAGCTTATTTTTAACTTAAGAAAATTACTGATCTGAATCACTTAACATTCACATCACTGTAAGTTATTTATATTGGGGAAGACATAAGCATCCTCCTATGTTTTTTGCCATTAATTACTAAATAGCCTGTAACATCAATGATAATGAATATTATGTATCACAATAATTATATCGATATAATTCATTTTTTTTTATTATAACTTTAACCTAAGCAGTTGTGATCTTTCCCAACTTAGATTTGTTGTAAAACTGTAATTTTTCAGCATCTCACAAAGTTTTCACCTTAAAATAACATAATTTTGAAGATTACCTTCGAAACATTTTTAATGGAAAAGCAGAATTGAAAGAAAATAGAGAAAACTTCAAAAAAAAATTTTATTCTATGAAGTTTGGTAACTATATAACAAGCGACTTTACATAAATATTACTATAATAATTATTGAAAATTTATTTTAATGCATTTTGAGAACATAATGAAATATTTTAACACTAATATTTATAACTAAATTGTCTTCCAAAAGTTAAAGAAAGTAAAATGTCAAATACTGTTGTTCAATAGTTTAAATTTATGAGAACAGTAATTTCTGTCATTTTCTCCTTCAACATTAATTGTATTTTTTTTTAAAATAGCTAAAGAAATTATAATGGCAACATTTTTAAGGTAATACTTCTTATATACATGCAAAATTTATTGCAATTTAAAACAATTTTCAATTAATTTTTTCATTTCAAAAATAACTACCTAGTTACAAGTTTTCATTGATAAATAAAAAAAACTAAGTTTGTGCAATTATAAAAAATTGCACTTGAATATTTGCAGCTTTGAAAAATACTACTTGCGTTCAAAAAAAAATATTTTTAAAATTCCAATTCAAAAAGTAAACAAGCTTTAAAGTTCTGCCTAATAATTACTCTATGCATAAATTTAGCACAAAAAAAGAGAAAAACTATTTTTGAAAGATTTCACTATAATCTTTCAAAGTGCCTTAAACTTGCAGCAGAAGAAGAAAAATACTCCATATAGCTAACAAGGTTCCTTAAATTCTGAATTGTTAAATTAACTGAATTGTTAATTAATGATTTAGAATTTTAATAAAATAATTCTTAATTATTAAAATAGTATACTATGTTAATGATTAAAATAGTTTATGTGTAAATTAATTTATAGGAATAGGCAAGTTATTTCTTCCTTTACACTAAATTTCAGTTTGCCTTTAAAAAAAATTTTATACAATAATTATAACAAGTTGCATAAATTAGTATTTTTATCTCTTTATTGCATTTGCTATTTTAATTTGAATAAGGATTGTTAGATTAGTACATTTTATTATTTATTCCAGAAAATTTATTTTGAAGTGTTATTTCCTCTTTTATCTTGGATATTTGTTTGAATTGGATATTTGTCTGACTGCAAATTTAAATTGTTGAAGTTTTCATTTCTTGTACTTAATATTACATTAAAAATTATTTATACGTTGTAATTTTTGTTTTATTTTAACTGTGTAGTTATGTATTTTTATATTTAAAGTATTTATATTATTTGTAACAAAACATTATTATTTAAACTATCGAGTATTATTATTAAAAATCTCTCCCAAACTAGATTTGAAAATATATTGATAATCCAAAATTTAGTTATTAAGAATAAAATAAAATTATTCTACTTTCATCAATGAAACAAAGTGCACTAACTTATTAAATGACAACCAAAATATATATATATATATACGTAAACTTTAATTCTTTTACATACATCATGGTCCTCTGTGATTTCTCAATTTTGAAAATATATATTAAGTAATCTATTTAAAAATTAACAAGTATTGTAAAAATAAACTTTGTGATTTTTTTATGACATGTATATTATAATTAAAAAAGAGTTAGTCAGTAGTTAGTTATAAAAGAAACCTTACAGATACACCAGCAGATAGGCTTTATTATAGTGCTGTTCTGGAAAACAAATATATTACAGTAGTTGTAACAAAAGTACAAATCTTGCATTTAATTATGTTAGCTTTGAAAGTAATGTATTTATTAAAATGTGAATTACTTGTTTATTTTTTGTTACTAAGTGAATAATTTGTATATCACGAAAATGTCTTTTTTACAGTATTTGTCTACATAAAAAGTAACTTTTAAAGATAGGTATTTAGATTGTAGCTTGTTTACTGTATATTAATTTAGACTAAAATCTGAAAAAAAAGAGATAAATAGATAGAAATAAAATATTAGAAGTCTAAACTTGTATAGAGAAACAGTAGCCTTATTGTATATAGTATTTCAGTACAGTGGAACTTGATTATACGAATGATGTATTGTTTCCAGTTGGTTAATGAAATCGAAATATGATTGATGCTTTGTAACTTATTGAAAAAATATTAATTATATATTTTTAATAATATTTAATGAGAGAAACTTATTTGTCTCTTCGTATCTTTTTGTACAAAAGAGATTCTTAAATACATGTTAAGATTTAAATGCTAATATGCTAGCAATTAACAAAGGGTATATTTGTACTGCAGTAATAAATAACATACAACAATATATAAGAACGTAAATAATTTAGTTGAGTCAAATAAATTTAATTCTTTCCGACGAGTCAAGTCGTTATTGAACTGGCTACATAAATTCTAAATTATTGATGCTAGTTTTAATAACGAATATGTCATTTCTTCCAAAATCAAATATTAAATTAAAAACTTTTATTGCCATTACAATCACAAACAGCTCGTATAAATTTTTATTTCTCCAGAAATTAAGAATTCTTGTTCCCAAATACAAATGTTATTACTAATCAGAGTAATTTGTGCACTTTTTTGTTGTTTTATTATTTCACATTGAATTATTTTGAGACTATTCATACTATTTATATGCTTCATTGATGTCTATTGCCGAGCTAGAAGTACATAATACTATAGGGCCATTCCATGCTAATGTTGCTTTTATTCCTCTTTTAAAGGTCAATCAGATGTTAGGTGGTATATAATTCATCTTGAATTACTGAATTTACTAGGCAAATAACCTGCAGTAAATTGCAAAACATCATTTTAAATATTAACTAAAAAAAAATAGTTAAAATTTGTTGCTCCAGATTTTAGTCTGTTACAGGAAAGAATTATCTTTTGTTTAAATTTTAATAGCAGTTAAATTTTGTAAAAGCAACATTTTTGAATTCGTTATTAAATAAAATGCATTATTTTTTTTCTATAAAATATGCAATATTTTATAATTAATATGTTTAAATATAAAGGTGCCTAAAAACAAAAGGTGATTTCTATTTATCTGTTTTAACAGCATTTTTTTAATTATAATTTTTTAAAGAATTTATTTTATTATTTATAAGTACATTTATATTATTTTTAAGGTCACATTCTAATTATAGTTGGATTAATTTTTTTAATAGAGTAAAACCATTATTTGTTTATCTATAACTCTGTTATCATGGAATTTCCTTTTAATGTTTAGAATTCTGCAAATTATGTGACGTACAAAACAGAAAACTGTTTCAGAGCAGTATGCTCAACTCTGTACTGAAACTATACAAAACTTTTAATCTAACATCAAAAATTCCTATCCGCATACAGTTTGGTATATACCAATAATGTCTTTAAATACTATTATTGTTATATCTGCCAGCCTCTTATCAATTTCAACACAGTTAAGTGAGGAAGTTTTTTTTCTATCTAAGCATGCATTCATTTTTGTTATAAAAACTATTATTTATGTGCAAATGAATGTGGAATGAGTACTTAATAATATAAAAATGTAGGGAAAACAATTCAATGTGAAATATCGCTAGTAAGCCACAGTTTGTGAAGATAGTATGTTTAACAAACAATGTGTTAAGAGAAATTGTAGTGTACTCCTTAACTAAAATTTGTCATTTGTGATATCTCTGATAGCAATAAAATGAGCTTAGCTAATTTAGATAAAGATTTATATCATAACAGTTTTCTATTTTTTTAATTGTCTTTCATTTCTTTTGGAAATGCTATAATTTTATAACATATATTTATAGAAAATATGTACTTACCTTTGAAATTTTTGAATTTTATAATTTTCTTTGTAACACTCTGTGTCTTAATTATAAAACTGTTCTGAAATTTTTAGAAATAAAACTTATTTTAAGAGTGCATCTTTCTTTGTAATTTAGTTACAGAAAAAATATTTATTTTAGTTTCATAAAAAATTTACACTAATTAAAATGTCAAAGTATGAGACACAAAAATATGGCATTAAAAATACAGTGTGATAAGTAAAATAAGAACAAATAAAATAAGAGTAACAAGTAAAATATTCCAAAATATATTAATACTTAAGGTGAAGAGTTTGAGATTATATAATGAAAAGCCACATTTTAAAATTACCCGGGAAAGCATTTTTGTGACACCCAATTTTTAAATTTTCCTACAACTATCTAGTGTTCATGGTTATTCGAAATTAAAATATATTAAATGTTAAATTAAAAACATACTTTTAAAGTACTCTACTGTGTTTGCACCTTTTTTAATATTAAAATATAATTTTATTATTAAAAAGTTTAAAATTCACGTGTAAGCATAAATATTTTAAGTATAATAAAATATTTTACAAAATAAATTGAAAACTAACTATTGTGTATTACTTTTCTTTATAGTTTATTTAAAAAAAAATACAATACTTCAGATTGCGTTAATAGTCTAAAGAGATAATAAATACAATATGAATATTTTGTTAAATTAAATTTAATGTCTTAGAATTGTGTATAAGCAGTCGATTGGAAAAAAAACATCACAAAAATTCCTATTTTATATATTTTCATACTATTCTATTTTATATTGATATACTCTTAGAAAAATCCATTTATTCTGAAATTAGAAGTTGCACAAATTTCAAATTTGAGCTTTTCATGCTACACAGAATAAATATCAGTTTGAGTTTGAAAATAGTCAACATTAATGTAAAAATTAACAAATTCGAAAATATTTCATAAATTTTCAGTTTAATAATAAAACACTATTCTTTACATTTAATGTAATAATTTATTGAAAATTGTTTTTATAATATTAATTATTTAAAAAGCAACACACTGAACATTCCAACAAATTTAGCACTGATTACTATTTTTATTTAAGTTTGCTTACATATATTAAGATTTTTGAATACTTTTTTAGTGAACGAATTAAAAAAAGCGATGAGCAAATCTAATTAAAACGGATTTTTTCTTATTAAATATCAAAATTAATAGTTTCAAAATAAATGTGTATTTAGTTTCATCTTTTTTCCGCTTGTTGCATATAACATTGGTACACAAGGTTGAAATGATTATTCAAAATATTAAATTAATGATGATTTAAATGTGTTCTTCAGCATAATCCATTTATAAAATTGCTCCATTAAAAATGAATTTTGATGTTTTATACATTCATTTAAGTATTTTTAGAAAAGAATTAAATCATGAAACATTATTATGATTTAACACAGTGTCACAAAATGTACAACATATGTTGACATGATATACAAAATATATTGCACTATTATAAAGTACTGCGTACAATAAAATAAGCATAATTTGTATTTTGCATGACACTGAATACATTGAATCACAATATTTTTATGTGGTTTTGTTATAATCTACTGGTGTATAATTAAATGTTTTCATGTGGAATAGAGCAAGTTTGGCAGAATCAAACAATTTTGTACTTTACAAGTGCCTTAACATCCTTTTAGTGACTAAAATATACATACTCTAAAAACTAGTTTAAAAGATAATTTGGTGTTATTAATACAATAATCATAGAAGTAGACTGATAAAATAAATTTTATTTATGATTTTTAAATTCATAGACTTTATTATATCACAGGGAAAAAATATTACACAATGTAAGTGTTAATATAACTTTTTTTTTGCTATTTTTGTTCAATTGTTCCACCATTTTTTTTATTGATAAATTAGAAGACATAATTTAGTAGGGGAAAAAAATTACTTATTATAAAACTTCATTGGCTTTAAAAATATGTAAATGGAAATTAAAGTCCACATGTCAAGTGATCAAAAATAGGCAACCATTAGGGGGATACATTTTATGCTAAATTGCCCCACTAGGCAATAGTAGCTTTCTTTGTCCTGTTTTTTCATCTTTATTTTTGTTTTACTCTCGTTTACTCTATGGTTTTGTTTCTCACCTTTTTTTCCATTTTTTTGTTGACAACTTATTTTTTCGCTATCACGTCGTTCGACAAGTCTTGAGAATGGGCGTCTGTTTTTGAGTGCTTGAAAGGCGTCAACTGTTATTTCTATCTGCATTAAAGCCACAAAGTTTTTAACAGGTCAAATCTTACTATTTCAATTTTTTAGGATTATTCATTTAAAACTAGTAATTAGTATAGGTGTTTTTTTAAAAAAACAGATTTAAACCGCAATAAATAATGGTTTTTTAGATAAATATTATCAAGTACAACTATTAACAAAACTAAAAAGCATGTAACTTAGATTAATATATTTCTACAATTCGTACAATCAGAAAATAAATTATCTAAACATACTAATTATAACTAGATATAAATTTTTTATTGATGATCATTATTGTTGTTAAGCTAGATTGAATAAAACACGTTTAGTTTAATGTTATTAAACTAGATTTTCATACATACTTCTTTTTTTTATTCAGGTAAACATATACAATTTATACAGTTAAATATTTCATTGATTTCTTTAAATAGATTCTCATTTATTTCTTTATATGTTTCAATACACGACAAACATTTATTAGGAATGAAATTCTAACTCCATTTATAAATGTAGTTATTTTTATCAACAACTGCTTGTAGTATATTATCAAAAACAAAACATTTTGTAATCATAATAAGTAATGTACATATGTAAACCAAAAATAAGTAGTATACATATAAAAGTAAAAAAAATAATAAGTCACAAAAGTAGTTAAAGCATAGTTTTTTTTAAAAAATAGTACAATTTTCAGAAGTGAAAACCTAAAAAAATATGTTTGGTTGTAAAATTTCTTAAATGAGGAATGCGATATAAATTTTCTTTGGGCGCATAAGAATGGATCAAGTACTAAGAAATATTTGATGTTGATTTCTAACAAAGAAAGTTAAAAATAGGATTGATAATTTTGAATGTAAGATTTTTAGAATGTAAGGCTAAGTTTAAAAGAGTACAGATTAACAATGTGTACCATAAATGTTTCAATTCAGAATTGCACAAAACCAACAAAGAACCAGATATAATTCACATAAGTTAAATCGACTTAACTGAAATAGACAGGTTATTTAAAAATGATTACTACTTTTGAAGATTTTTATGGCTTAACCATTTGTAACCCAACATAGAGGAAGACCTATACTTTGATAGGCTGATGACATTGGAACTAACTTTCTAACCAGACATGTTAAAAATTGGAGGCATGTTGGTTTTAGAAGAGATACCTGAAAAGTTTTCATGAAGAAGACCGTGACCTACACTGATGGGCTTTTGAACCATTTACAAAACATTTTTTCATGTGGATCGATCATTTCAGAATAACAATATATTATGATTTTATGATAGCTAACAGAAATAAGATTCTTAAACTGATAAGAATATGACTATAAATGCTATACAAATGGACCTGAAAATAAAAGAATGACTGGGTGTAAGAACTTAGTAAAACCTCTTTATAATCTTAAGTATTTATCAACTGGATAGAATTCAGTTTCTACTGGTAACTTTATTTGTGTGGGGAGAGCATCAATTCTTTTACCACAGTTTTGTTAGTCATTAAAACTTTTTGAAATTAGTTTAAAATTATCAGATTTTAATCAATAAGAAAGATTGTTTAATAATTTTTAACACACAAAAAACTTTTATGAAGTGGATTGTCCTTTCAAAAATGATTAAATATTACGACTTTACGTTGACTATCAGATGAGATCATGACTCTAAATATTACACCAGAGCTCAAAAATTATATCTCTCGACATGCTGGGGCATGCAAGAATTCTGATCTGGCATGCATTTTTTACCCCTAAATTCCGAACCGGCCATGTAAATATCAAATTAGAAATAGAAAAAAGTACTGATAAAAAAGTTCTTAAATTTAAACAAAAATCACCAAAATTTTGGATAAGGAGAAAACGTGACAAAAAAGGGAAAAAGAAAATAATATGAAAAAAAGATTATCCCTATTGCAGTACACAAGAAAACAATTAATATTAAAATTTAGAAGATCATTTTTAAGTAACATGATTAAGAGCATGTACATGTCAATAGTTCTTAATTGTTTTGACATTATAACTTCTTTGTTAAAAATGATTTTCTGCATGTTTTCTACTTCTTTGTTGTCATTGACTCAAATGTTATGTTTTATCATTGACTCAAATTTTACTCATTATACTTTGCAGTAAATAATGCCTAATTATTCTTTATTAATAATATTCAATACTTCTGAATTATATATAAAATAAATTTGTTGATATATATATGTATGCTGTTATTATAATTTTTTCAACAGATTAATAATAGACTAAGAGTCCCGGCAGGGCATGTAAAAATTTAAACGTTTTCTGAGCCTAGTATAATACAAATGAGCCTGAAAATAAAAATATCACAGGCTGTAAGTGCTAAGATGTGCCTCATTAATGATACATTAATAGTCCTCAGTAGTGTTCAACAGAAATGTGTTATAACTCAGTTTTTGTTGATGACTTTAGCTGTGCGCAGTGTCCATAAGTTCCTTTGCCATAGCACAAAAATTCAGTCAATTTACTTTTACCTTCAAGGAACATCTCATAGATATCAAACTCACCAGCCTCTCCAATATAATAATGACACATTTCTTGCAACCTATAAATGAATGGATATAAATAAATAAATAAATTCATTGAGTTCCATATTTTATGATGTATGGTATGCAAGAAAAAATATTGAATCCTGAATAACTTTTAATCTAATAAACAGATATTCATACAGATATTAAAATGTAATGTTAGTGGTTCGATGGGTCAACCTTATATACACTATAGAACACAGGTATTTTAAGGTCAGAAACTAGACACAAAAATATAATTTTTCTGTGTAAATATACTTTTATTTTTTCAAGGGATCAGAACTCAAAATGTAGAGAAAAACTGCAATCTCGAAAAAATGATCTTGATAGGTCAGTCCAGAAAAGAGATTAAAAGTATTAAAAAAAATTGCAGGCAACTATAAAATTTTTTAACCTAAATGTAACTCCATACAGAAAAAAAGTGGAAAGGTATAAGTATGAACGTTGTCTTAATTAATACAACTAAAAAAGGTTATAATCCAAGATCAGAAAAAAACTAGTTATTCATGTTAGTTGGTCATAAGAATTAAAAAAGTAACTTTTTTGAAACTTTGTAGTGTGATAACTAGTAAACCAATTTCTTAAAAATTTTAAGGTTTTTCAATTCTGTGCACACAAAAAAATATTTTATTTATAAAAATTATTAAAAAGATATTGTGAACACAAATAGGATACACAAAAATAAGATAAATATTTTAGGAACTCAAACATTTTACTGCTCCCCTGACTAAAATTTTGGAACAATGTTTTCCAATTTGCTGCTATTCTCTATATTTTGATGATCAAATATTCAAAAGACGTATATTTAGAGAAAGTATATTTTTGCATCTAATCCGAAATTGTGTAATTCCGACTAGTTAATTAGCATATTTGAGGTATGAGCCTCCAACTATTAATATTGCATCTTATTAATAGTTGATGTTGCATAGAAATCTCTTCATCAAAAGTTATTCAAACAGATTAGATAGGTTTGCATACTATAGATAAAATTTTTACAAATAGAGACAACTAATTGCATATGTAAGCAAATGATGTTGGGTGCCCTTATCTTGAGGACTAGGGCGTTAGGTTTTCCAACTTGCAAACAAATTTGCACCTTATTATTCTGCTAATTTTGCATCAATTTTTAAACCCTATACCTAAAAAGATAGTTTTTAAATATTCACTATTCCTGTCAGTGAGCACTTCCTAAAATTAAATTGTATGTGGGGTATAGTGGCACAAGGTTCATAAAGGGATATGTTGAGTATAGTATAGGTTTTAAAATGTGAGGTGCATAGATAAACTTTGGTTACATTTATAGCACTGTAGACCACATATTTCTTTAATATAGCTTGTTCATGAAGTTACAGCATTGATTTTGAAACAATAAACAATCAAACCTTGATATCTTAAATCTGAAAATGAAAAATCTAAAACTTAAGTTATAGAAATTCACTTGTACAGTAGAATAAAGAAAATGCATATTTACAGAGTAAGACATTTCATTGAAGAAAACATGCTACACCAAAAGTATCTCTATGCAACATAAAAAAAAGAATGGTCCAACACAGTTTTCCATTGTTGTCGGTGCATTTTTATTGGACGAAAAATCACATGGTAGGATCCACTTTTTCCTCATTCATTTCAATATTGTTTTGGTTGTCATCAGCATAAAATTAACAAAAGTCGTAAAGGTATTGTTTCCTTTTAAATATTTTTATATCCCTAATTTAAAGATATATCCAGTACAGCGAAAACCTAGTCCGTGGTTTGTGGTGGAAGCATGTTGAATTTGAAGAAGAGCCTCAGAGCTCAAATAAATCTTATTAGACAAAATTAAGCCTTACCTATTGAAACGCAGTGCTATAAGGGAAAGCAGAGAGCCCGCCGCAATTTACTACACTCAATACTCAAGTACTGCTATTATTAGCGAAAGTATAAAATTATGGTTGTGAACTCATCAAATTTGTTTGAACAATATAATGTTATAAGAAAATAAATGTTATTTTAAAAAATGATTACTTCGAAAAATCACTTCTGTTCACCAAGAGATCTAAATGTTCATAATATTAATAGATAGTAATATTTGGACGTGGGAAGTAGAGGCACAAGCGTAAGCAAATAGAATCCCTTTTAGTACATATATGTTAAGGGAATAATTTTAACTTTAGTAGAAAAACTGTTTTCTGCCAAGAAAAGACAATTATTGTGAAGCAATCATTGGGGTTGGTGAGAGGCAGTGAACAGGGGGCTTAGCCCCCTAGTTATTTAAAAAGATTCTATTGTTAGTTATTAAACATAAAGGTATATTTATTCAAAAGCATTTTCTACAAGGACAATAGCTTAAAATGACATATTTAGCCAACTTTCAACACATTCTACTTATTCATTGACAATTTCAAAATTGTTTATCAATTAAAATATTAATTAAAATATTATTTCCTCGACAAATGAATTTGGCAAATTTGTGGAACATTTGTAGAAATCTATTGCATCTTATGAACCTCTATTTTAAGTACAAAAAAGTATAATCAAATAATCAGCTAAAATAATATAATAATTACATTAATTTAGTTGAATTAGAATATAAATTAAGCTATGATATAATAGCATAAAATGGTATGGAAACAATAATAAGGGAACAAATCAATGAGCAGTAGTACTCATTAGTGAATATTTACAAACTGGATTATATGTGGTGAATATTGACTTCAAAAATGGGGAAAAGGAAAATTTTAATATGTAAGATACCTATGTGGCCACCTGCCACCCATTTGCGTCATGCCCATAACTCCTTGTGTCTCTAAACCTGGACCAGATAATCTATTTAGGCCATCAACTTGCTTTACTCCATATCTAAAATTATAAACATATAATTATAACTATTTTTTAGGTTCAATTTTTCATAATATTGGAATTACAAAAGACACATTTTCATGCTTAACTTAAAATGACCTGAAAAGTTTCACTTAAAATAACACAATTTGTATCAGAGTATATTTATTGACAGTATCATCATATAAGCGAGAGAACAGTTATAAGAATTATTGAAAGTGACAGAAGAAATAATCATAACAAGATAAGATAAAGTAAAAATTTGAAACTAGAAATAGACATTTTACTAGCCATCCATCAATACAAATGTAGCATATATGTTTTAAGTAATGCATTTCAAATACAGAACTAAAGAATCATTAACTTTTATCAAAGCTTCTTTTTAAAAAATAATAATATTAATATATGTAAGTATAACACGTTTTTAAAATATATTGCTCCTTCTTCAAACATTGTGATACAATATACTATAGGAAATTTTTTAAAAAATAATTATTATTTATAATTATAATAGAAAATTTTAAAGGAAGAAAACAATGAAAAGATATAAAAATGACAACCGAAGCTGACGTCATCGGAGGCTACCAGCTCCAGAAGTCATGAAATACAAACTTTTTCTATCGAGAGAGCACGACAACTGTCTAAAAATTGCTCTCTCTCTGTACCCAAAGGTTTTGTAAAAAGTCCAGGAATAGGAAAAAGAAATACATCATACAAAATATTTTGTTTTTTTATTACTCTTCTCTTTACAAAACCAGAAAACTTTGGGGTACAGAGAGAGCAGTTTTTAGACATTTGTCGTGCTCTCTCGATAGAAAAGGTTTTCTGTTTTTCTGACTTCCAGAGCAGGTACCCCCTGATGACGTCAGCTTCCGTTGTCTTTTTTATATTTTTATTATTTTCTTTTAAATTTTCTATTGGTTTCAATTTTCTTATGGAATTTCTGCTGCATTGCGCAACTTTCCTTTGGAATTAACTGCTTTATACATGATCTTTTATTTCTCTTTTATTATTACAATTACAATGCTATCTTGCAGATCCATATATCTAGAAGAAAAAAATTTTATAACTTATTATGCAATGATATGTAGACTTGACATAAAGTGCATTAAGAAATCATTGAGTTAAATGATTACACTGGATTATAGTTTTTTTTTTAAATCTGCAATTGGTTGCTTTCTCCAAGAGACAGCTTTTTTTAAATGGCACTTCAGTCTATTTTTTCATAGAAATGTACAAGTTTAAAAACATTATATACCACAAAGGGTTGCATAAATGTTGTCACAAAGTTCTAGAGGAGTTAGAGTACATCACCAGAATTAAAACTGCATAGAACTAATGTCTGAAAATGTTGTCATACAACGCCAGGGGCACATCCCTATTATGAATTATTTTCTGATATACTTCAGAACAAGTCATAATAGGGAAGTAACTCTAGCCTACCCAATGGCATTTTTGGGCAAAGGTTACTATGCAATTTTAATCCTGACGATGTGTCTTTAATTCCCTTTACTCCTTCTTATATATAACATATATAAACTTGTACATTTTGAAAAAAAATCAATCATAAATTTTATTTTAAAAAAATCTGTGGCTTTAGGAGCAAATCTAAATTCTGATTAGAAAGCCTGACACTCGAATTAGGCAAGATCAAGTATTTCTATAAATGCAATCAAATATTTGTTACCCAGAGATATTTACAATTGCAGTGAATAAAAACTAAAATTTTGAGTTTGTCTCTCATAATTTGCTTTGGCTAAAGAAAAAGTTTTCAATTTTAATACAACTACTGAAATAATATTTCATGAAATTTTCGAAAAATTAAAGAAAAAATAAAATATTAAGTTTGTTTAAAACATCTGCATTATTTCAAATAAACTAGTTAAACTTTAAGAAATCTTACTAAAAGTACTACTTAAGACATATTTTGAAAATTACTCATATAAATCTCAGGAAAAAATTTATATACTCTAAAATAAACTTCCATAGAAAATTGTTGATTGTGCAATAGTCTTCTAAAATATTATATAACAATAAATTCTATGCATACACAAATGTTTAAGTATAGGTCAAAGAATTTTCTGTTAAAAATATAATGCAACTTACTCTTCAAAATTTTTATTGCAAACATTTTCAATGGTTTCTAATATCTCATACTCTTTCAGAGATTTTCTTTTTTTGGACTTATCCAATTTACTTTGTTCTACAAACAGAGCAGTATATAACTAGAATATAAAAGCATTTATATGAATTACAATCACTTGAAAAATATCTGTCCTCAATTTATAAATGGGAATAAACCTTTTTTTTAAAAAAATCATTTCTTACTTTATGTTATTCTTATATGTATCATATTATGCATATGATAGTCAAAATAAAAATAAATGTAATTCAGTTTATACATAACTTTCAAATAGTAGTCAGCAAAAACCTTTAATTAAAAAATAATATTAATTATTGAATGAATTAGAACTTGTACAAACTGATTAGTTTAAGAAAGTAAGCATGTATGCTTTGTTAGTGGAGAATGCTAGTTATTGAGTATAAATAAATTATTACACATATCAATACAGAACATTTAATAAAAAACCTTCATTTCATTCATTTGAACTTTTAAAATTAGTTGGTGCACTTACAAATATCCTATTACTCTTTTTTATCTTTCAATCCTATTTCACCAATTCAGTGAAATTTTAAAGTAAAACATAATCAAAAAATTTCTTAATAAAATTTTTGTTCTTGTGAAAAATTCAGAATATAATCAATAATGCCCCTTGGCAAATTTGACTTATTTCAACAGCCAATCTACAAGATAGGTGATCAAGCTTTAAAGGTTTTACACCCATTTATTAAATAGGATGAATCTGGTTCATGATAATAGAGATAAATTTGGATAAGGTGTCTGGACAGGTTCATCCGTTTTGAGAAAAATCCCTATAGCTACAGCAATTATAACAACTTCAAAGGAACTAGGTATCATACAGAGAGTGTAATTATTTTATTATCCATCTTTAAGAAATAAATAAAATTAAAAACTGGATTTCCCTTTTCTTCAGAAATCATAACAGTTTTAAAAAAATTAGATATTATATGGACGTATTTTATTTTATGTATCGAAAGGGATAATTTAAATTGACTGTAATTAGTCAATTATTTACAAACAATAGTTTTTAATGTTAAAAATTATCAAAATAAGAAAGATAATAAGAGAATGTAATTTCATCAGTAGCCTTACTTGATAAACAACAGCAAGACATGCATCACATCTCAAATTGGTAGGCATGTGATTACTTCTATTTTCTTCTTCAGACAATTGAGGAACTTTGAGAGAAATCTTATTTCCCAAGTCTTCCTCCCTAATATCAGAATCTAAAATGCAAAGAATAATCAGTGGTTATAAAAAAAGATTATAATCCTAAATACTAAAAATTTAAAAAAAAAATTTTATTATAACTATAGATGCACCTGGAAGAAAAAAAATTTAAGAAAAATAATTTTTTTAGAAGAAGTTATATATTTTTTAGATGAAATTTAGAAAAAATAAGAAAATGTTATGAAAAAGAAAAAAGAATTAGAAGAAAGTTTTATACCAGTGATAATACACGTTATTTTGAAATCTATCTACTGTAGCTATTAGCATATATATTGTAATCGATACCATATAAACAGTGATGTTAAAAATAGTAGAACTTATGTTATTTCTTAGTTTTCATTGGTAACAAAGCAGTAATTAAATTTTTTAAAAAAGAGAAAACCAACAATTTTTTTTTTTAAATCATTAAAAAAGTTGTTTCAAAATAAGAAAGCAAGCGTAAATGCTGTGTGCCAACATATTATGGAACACAACATATATGAATTAGTATAACCAATTAAGTGTGTCAAATGTCAATCAATACATTTAAAAAATAAATTCCAAAATGCATTTTTTGGAAGAAAAATATTTCAAATGTGATTTATTCCCTCAAATTATAAAATAAGAAGAAAATGATATAAATATGTACAAAGTAGAAAAATCAATATTTACTATGAATAAATTATTAACCTGATTATTCCTAATAAAACTAAAAAGCCATTCCATTAATTCACTGATCATATCTATTAAGGGAAGATATATCCCCTTTATTAAATCTTTTGTATTAGGTATTTTACAGGAATTTAAAAGAATGTCTAATTTATTATAATGAAATATGCATTTAATGAAATAAAAGTAATTTTAAGACTTTAAAAAAATTGTAAAAGAAATGCAAAAATCACCAATTGCAAAGCACACATTGAGCACTAGTAACATCAATGATAAACCAGACGAAAAAATCATCTTTAAGTAAATAAAAATTGCAATTTAACACTATAAAGGGGCGATTCCGGTCAAAAATGTTTCAAAATTTGTTTGTTGTCAAGTTGCCTTCAAAAGGTACGTCTACATCTGCCTCTTTCTGTTAAGTGTAAGATCCACATACTTTCTTCCAAATATTACTTCGCACAGAAATAAACTGTTAGGAGCGTCAAAATAAAAATAAACAATCATTCTTGATCAAATCAATCAATCATTTGAAATTCATGGTCGTGAAAACTGAAAGATTTTATGTTCTCCAAATTATTTGCAGATTATTAAAGATAGTAATCCTGAGTATGGGCACTCGTTTTTCTAGCTCTTCTCCAAAAATGTTTTCTAGTGTTGAGCGAAAACTTATTAATGAATTAATAAACAAACACTGTGTTGTTATTTTTTCCAAATCTCATTGTATATACTGTCGAAAAGTGAAAAAGGTTATTAAATTTTATATTATTCTTAAGTGTCCATAAATACACAAATACAATTAAATATTACTTATTATTATTAAGTTTGCTACTATATGTTTATACCAATTTTGGTTCTGTCACATTCATCTTTGATTTCAAATTTTCGTTCTGTCATATTCATCTTTGATTTCAAATTCTCGTTCTGCAGCATTCATCTTTGATTCTAAATTAATTATAGAAAAAAATTTGTTTGCTTTTTATTTTTCAATGTGTGTTAAATATATTTTTTATCACTGAGAAGAAGTGAGAAAGAGGAAAAACTCGGCTATTAACTTTTGCTTAATGTACAAGTTCAAACATATTTTTAATTATTTTCATACTTACTTTAGGGTCAAATTAGTAATTTTTATTATTCTTAAAACATACATGAAAAAAGTTATATATAGTTATTTATTCAAGTAATTATAAAAAATTTTATTAAAATTTGTTTTCTTAATAATATTTTTTGCTATTTGCATGAATAGTAAAACATTGTTACAAAATATAAATAATTTTAAATTGTTATCAAATTCTTTTTATTAAAAATAACATCTTCTCTCTAGCACTTAGTATATAAATCAGGTTTTGCAGTTGTCTTGATTTTCTGGATGCAAAGCATTTTTTTTCCTTTATTTTTGTCATTATGTTCCTAAATTATTTTTTTTGTTTTTTTTTTGTTCAAAATATGACATTTTGACGAATGTGTCATGTTAAAAAAATCATTTGGATTTTTAAAAATTTCTTTCACGTGTAAGAAGTTAATAAAAACTACACCTATCAATGTTAAAACTAGTATGTTTTTACTCAAAAATTAAAATTATGAAATAAAAATTTTTTTTTAAATGAAAAGAGGTTAGTGGGAAAAACAGGACCCCTTTATCTTCATTTATATTAGAATAGATTATTACTGAATCAGCGTTGGAACAAACATTTTCTTTATTCTTCCCACCTTTATTACAGAATCATTTTGAATTTTTGTCATTTTATACCTATTTTCATCCTTAATCTGTAACAGGCACTTGACCCCTAAGTTCTGTGAAGCAGGTTTCTCACAAGTAGGCCACAGAAGAAGAAGAATTCTAAGTGACAAAAGTTTTTTTTTTACCTTGATGCCTTAAAGTTTCCATAATTTTTGTTTAAAATAAAAATTCCTAGTTCTCACTAAAAGTTATCTAAAAATATGAAGTTTAAAGTCATATTGCACTTTATTTTCAGATTGCAGTCAACCTTTCTTTTTTTTTCCTATTATTCTATTTTAATAAGTAATGAAAATGATCATTTAAATTCAGTTTTCAATTAAATGATCAATGATCAATTAACTTTATTTTTTATTCGCTGATTATTTGTTTATTTCTGATTGTGTAGTTTTGATACACTACAAAACTTAGTTGTTTTGGGATGCTTATATCTTCTTTTTTATTCTTTTTAATAATAATAAAATTTATAATTCTTAGACATTGTAATCATATAATAGTTCTAATTTAATGGCCATCAACCAATTATTCATTGTTCAAACTTGTAATCTTGTTTAAATCTTTTGATCACCTCATGAAAAAGAAACTCAGCATTTTTGATCTCAAAACTTTGCATTAGGCATTTCTTGATAGGCCTTTGTTTTTTTAGTATGTGGAATATATGTAATTTAATTTTGATTTTTTTTTTTTAAACTTTGTCCTAATTTTATTTTGAACCACTACTAAACCTGTATTAACTATGAAAGTATTTTTGTCACACTCTTCAGACGCTATGCAAAAGTAGCCCCTCACAAATGTAACATTCCTAACCAGATTAACTGCACATTTATCATGGAAGAACAATGAGTTTTTGCAAGTCAGCTGTGCCTCCTGTAAACCATTTTAATTGCTTATTATTACTGAATATTAATAAAAAAAAATATTTTCATCAAAAATGTAACTTTTTTTTTACTTAAAAAGTTGTTTTAAAAATATGAAACTTAACTTTAATGACATTACAAGTAAATTTATTAACTCAATATTTACATTATAGTTTTATTAATAATTAAGTTCAGTTGAAAAAAAATTATAATTAAGATGAAAGGGCTGTAAAAAATTGTCAAACTATTATTGATACCAGTGGTGCTTAATTAACTGTGGAATTATTAGGTATTACTGGTTATATGGTCATCGAACTATCTAAATCAGAAGAGTTTTATCATATGAGTTAAATGACAGGAATTAGTTTATTGTAATAATGAGAGCAGTTCCAGAGTAATAATTTTATAAGTCTAACATTAATAAATATCACATTTGTAATAAGAAAAGGAAAAATTTCTGTCAATTTGAAAACTGTTTTTTATTGTAATCTAAATTTGGATTTCAGTTTATCTTAAATCCCAAATTGTTAATTATTTAATTATTATTAAATGCCTAATTTTTTACTAAGTTCTTTATTAGTTGCTATATTTATTTTTTCAGAATAAATTATCTTAGAAGGAAACAATGTTCTAACTGAAATTGAAAGGTTTAGAAAATTATAAAATTCAATTAAAACTGATAAAAGCATTAAAAAAATAAGTCATATTTTTATCTCATACTAATAAAATTTATTCATAAACTAAACTTTTCTATCTTTTCAGTTATTTGATGAAAACAATATAAATTTCACAACTATTGAATTAGACAAAAGGGAAGATGGAAGTAATATGCAGGATGTTCTTCATGAAATTACAGGCTCCAGAACAGTAATACAATTTTATATTATTTGGAAATGGAAGACAATTTGAATATTAATGTTGAATTTTTATGTACAACTTTCTTTTTAAATCTTATCTTGCGAAAGGAAAATCATGATCATAGTAAATTTATATTAGATATGACCTTCTGGGTTTGAATTTTGCTGTAGAATTAGAACTAAAAATAATATTTTCAGTCTGATTGGGACAATTTCATTTATTTTTATGATGTGTTGACTTATGCATTCAATTCTGAATGACATCATATACCGCCATTGCTTGCACCCCAAGAAAGAGAAAAACAGACATTAAAACTAGTTTATATCAATCTTTATTTTGGAATAGAGTAAAGTATCCCTTACTCTCAAGACTTTCACCATACAGAACTGTTTTTTATCTGGATTGTTTATAATTAAAAATAGTGAAAGCTGTATTGTTACTTTTTTAAAAAAAATTCTAGAATTAAGATGGTTTTTACCAGTTTTTCTATTTTGTTGAGTACTAACAGCCCTGACAAGTTTCAATAAAACTAATTTTTTGATAATGCAAAAAAAATAGGATTTTTTTATGTATTTGTTGACCGATTATCGCAAAAATTTTTTAGATTAATGCATTGCTTGGTGAACTTTGATTTCACAAAATATTTTTAAGCACCAAAAAAAAAAGACTTTTTTTTTCCTAATTACTGAAAATTATTTAAATTGTTCTTGAATTAATTTCTGTTTCGATTGTTGAAGCCCTATTAAGAAAGATATGGAAATGTTTAAAATGAAGTTGAATCATTCATTCTTAAAGTGGTAGATTTGGAAGATATATTATATTTTTTGCATAGATAAGAAAATCCACCCGTAAGATGTGACAGCACAGTTTGTGTATGAAAAGAACTTCCCTTGCCATTTGTCAGGAATAGTGGCTGTCTCTATGGTTGCGAGGTTTAATTATTTCAAGTTGGGTCATAATTTAAGACAGGTTTTGGCTCAGATTAGAGAGATATTGGGAATCAGGAAAGAAGCAGCTCCCCTGCACTATTTCATGTTTCCACAGCAGCAGACCCCTTTAGACTTTGTGGTGAGGCAAGTTCTTTCTATAAACAAACTATGTTTTCTATTTTAATGAATCCTAAAGAAAAATAATCATGAAGAAGTAACCATCGTGGACAAAACTATGACTCATATCATGATTGGGAAGAATTAGAGGTATTAAAAGAGGTTATGGCATAGAGAGAGATCTCAGAAGAAGAAAGGGAACAAACTGAAGAAATTCAACAAAACTATGACTCATATCATGATTGGGAAGAATTAGAGGTATTAAAAGAGGTTATGGCATAGAGAGAGATCTCAGAAGAAGAAAGGGAACAAACTGAAGAAATTCAACAAAACGTTAAGTCAAATGAAGAAAAACAAAGATATTGACACACAGGACGAGACATGTATTTTATGTAAAGCGGTGTTTCACTTTAAGCAATTTCGTGTTAATGAGGTCCAACTGTATAATCTATTGATTTTATTTTTTGCTACAAGAAGATAAATATTTCTTTTGTTTCAATGAAACTAATAAAATAAAGGCTTGTATACTGCATTTAAAATGAATTAATTTTCTTCATTTTTCATCTGTTTAAAATATAAAATAATTAAATGTAACATATAAATATTTGTTAATGTTCATTACATATGTTTATCTCTTTACATTAAAACTTACTTTTGCAGTTTACATTTAACAGTTTGAATTTATTCTCAGCTTCCATTTATGTAGCACTTTTATTTTTTGTTTGTTTATTAACTATAATATGATAATGATTAAAATTAGCAAAGCAATTTCTAAAGCTCATTATGCTGGATAAAATATGTTGAATATTAAGTCATTTATGTATTTGCATCATTGTTTAGTAATTGTTATGTTTTGTTACAGGTTCCACGAGTATTTATAAATTCAGAATGCATTGGAGGTGCATCTGATACAGAGAAATTGTACCAAGAAAATAAACTTTTTGAAAAAATTAAACTATGTAGTAGTAGGTTATAGTGTTAAAAATTTTTAAAACTACTTGTACTAATGTAGTTTGTAGAGTGTACAGGTTTGCATTGCTTCAAAGTTTTATTTGTAACTCATTCATCATATTTATTTTTTTTAAAAAAACTACCCACAAATTTGTAAAGCAAACATGCATGTTGTACAATAAATATTTAATGTTTCATATCTGTTAGTTTTTATTCATAAAACTTACTCAAAGTTATAAAAATCTAAAGATAAAAATATTTATTCTGTTCACATTGCTGGAGGTATTCTTAAAGAAATATAAGGTAACTAGGTAACTGACTATTCTTTTTTATTTATTTATTTATTTCTCTCAGTTCTAATTTGTTCTCTTATTTTGTTCTTTAACTCATTCATCATATTTATTTTCAAAAAAAAAACTGCCCACAAATTTGTAAAGCAAACTTGCATATTGTACAATAAATATTTAATGTTTCATATCTGTTAGTTTTTATTCATAAAACTTACACAAAGTTATGAAATCAAAAGATAAAAGTATTTATTTTGTTTGCATTACTCATAATAAATATTAGTTCTCTTATTTTGTTCGTTACCTCATTTATCATATTTATTTTTTTTAAAAACTACCCACAAATCTTGTAAAGCAAACTTGCATATTGTATAATAAATATGTAATCGATCAGTGCTCACATACGCATGTGAGACCTGGACAATGACCCGTGGAGATGAAAATATGATAGCTAGTTTTGAGAGAAAAATACTACGAAGCATTTTTGGTGGAATAAGTAAAAATGGTACCTGGTTTAGAAGATCAAATACGGAACTCTACAAAGCATATAAAGAACCTGATGTCATTAAATTTATCAAAATTCAAAGGATTAAATGGGCAGGCCACATTATAGGAATAGAGGATAGCAGGACAACCAAAAAAGTTTTCTGTGCCAGGCCAACAGGTACAGGAAAAAGAGGACGACCAAACCTAAGATTTTTAGACTGCCTTGAAAAGGACCTACAAATTTTAAAGATAATTAACTGGAGAACCTTGGCTAAGGGAAGAATGTCTTGGCATAGGCTTGTTGTCTTGCCCATCCTGGGCTGTCGTGCCAATGAGAAGAAGAAGAATATTTCATCTCTTAATATTCATAAAACTTACACAAAGCTATAAAATCTAAACATAAAAGTATTTATTTTGTTCTAATTACTGAAAGTATTCTTAAAGAAATTTGGAGTGACGGACTATTCTTTTTTTTATTTTTTATTTATTTATTTTTGTTCTCTCAAACTTAGTTTATACCAATGTTTAATGCCGGTACTTTACGTTTATATGATGGATAATGTTTTGCTTTGAATTTAGCACAGTAGGACTACATTTGGCTCTTGTGCCATTAATTTTTATATTTATTTTAAGTCTTCATCACTTAAAATATTTTTAACTTTACATTTTTGTTTACAAATATACCTAAAAATGTCTTTATCAAAAAATTTTATATTAGCTTTAGCAGGTGTTTACAAATAAATGCACGTGGACACCTGCTAAAGCTAATTACAAATTCAAAGAAGGTATTATTAGGACTTTGTACCAACCTTTTATGTGTCACACTTCTGGAAAAGTTTGAGTGAAATTCTCCTTCCATGTTCTACTTTCCAATAGCAGAAATACTGGTTTGTTGTGTAGGAATGTAACTAGAGTCGGGAAAAGCTGGAATCTATGCTCAGATTCCTAAATGGTCAGCTATTTTTTATTTATTTGCTATTATTATAATTTCCTGGAGGTATCGTGTTAGAGACAGCAAAATAAAATAAAAATTTAATTACAGTTATAATGGAGTTTTTAAAAGTACAATGTCACATTTAGTCGATATCATCAAAAACTAAATTTTGCTCGAAGATTTATTTCCAATTTTATACAAAAAAGGATTTTCATATTTTATTTAAATTATATCTTCCATTTTTTTAAAAATGAAATATCAGTAGAGTGTTTTAAGGTATTTAACTTTAAAACACAAATTGACAACTATGTCAGATATGTGATTCTATGTGTGTAACAAATTGCCTGTTGTCTTTAACCTACTAATTCTATTTAAAAATGTGATTGAACTTTTATTTATCAGTATTATTCCTGAGATAATTTTGATAAGGTTTCTAAGGTGTAGCAATTCTTATTGTTAGAATATAAATATTATATTATAATAGTTTTTCTTGTAAGAATATACAGTCAAACCCCGGTGTAGTGAACACGGCTTATAGTGAACTTCCGGATATAGTGAACGAAATGCTCGGTCCCGTGCCTTGCTATACACGTGTAATGTTATTTTTAGTGGATATAGTGAACCAAAAAAGTGAGGAAGTTGGATATAATGAACTTTTTTCTGTCTTCAACTGATTCCCCCCCCCCCCCATTTTCTTTGTAATAATTTAGAAATTTCTACTTCAAAATAAATACATATACCGATTTTTAAAACCATCTATGGAAACTACTTTTATGTGCTCGAATGGCTGGTTAGACAGGTTTAAAAAGAGGAATAACAGACACTCAGGAAAAATTATCTGAGAGTCGGGAAGTGTTTCCATATCTGATGTTGAGGATTGCTCATCAGCTAAAGATTACTAATTTTTATTTGTGCACAAGACGAAGAGTGATGAAAAATAACACATTTTTCGCTACTACATAATATTTTTCAGTCATTTATATGAATATAATGTAATAAAAGGGAGGAATTTGGGAACCATTAGTGAAATTACCTGTGTAACGGATATAGTGAACTCCCGGTTATAGTGAACCGAAATTTTTGTCCCTTGAAGGTTCACTATAGCGGGGTTTGACTGTATAAGGTAATTATATTCTTACGAGAAAAACTATTAGTCTACAATTTTTCTTTTCTTAACATTTATTTGCAGAAAGTTCTACAAACAAATCATCAATTTATTAAGGTACATAAATTTTAAGTAAATAATATTCCAAACTTGTTCAGTAAATGAAATGTGATAAAGTCTGCTGTTAAAGGATTTGGCAAATGAGTCTTTCTGCAGTTCCACAGTTTTTTTGCCTGTAAATTTTCAATCGCCCTAAACTATTCTAAAGAAATGTTTCGATTATTCTAGAAATATTTTTAATTCTATTGTTTTCTTCATCACTATTACTTTTAATCAAACTGATAATCGGCTTCTTCTAGAAATATTTGTAATTCTCTTGTTTTCTTCATCACTGTTACTTTCAATGAGACTAATCTTCGACTTCTATAAATATTTAAAATTCCATTGTTTAATTTATAATTATTAATTTAATTACACTAATATACGACTTCTAGAAATATTTGTAATTCTATTGCTTTCTTCATCACTATTACTTCTAGATCAGACTGATATTTGATTTCTTCAGTTCCATTCTCAGAACTTTCTTTATCATTTTCTATGATATCTTTTAATGTGCCGCATATGTGACTTTTTGAAATGATATCTCAGTCCCTAATTTATTTTGAACTAGCTGAATACCCGTTTTCCGTACGGAGTAAAAAAAAAAGTAGGCAATCAGTATTGAACAACGCTGTGAAATGCACTAAACTAAAAAACATATTAAAACAATTTAATAAAGCTAAAATAATTTCAATTTTGTTTTTATTAATTATTATTTTTGTCCTTGCTGATGGATTTACGTTAATAGATTAAACAAAACACGTTTTTGTCGTTAATCTCATCAAAATAAAGATTAATTGTATTTAGTATCATTTGGGCATGATTCTTTTGGTTGAGGTGAACTCGTGATAGTCTAAGTTTACCACAATTAAGGGATTTTCTCTGATTCTTATCCCTTTCGAGGGCCCTTAAAAAACCAATTTCCACAGTATCTATATTTATACTATACATTATTGATGCAGCTTTAACAGATACTAAATATGTTAATTATACCGATATTATTACATTTGGTGCCTTTTCAAACTGCACCGATTGCCATCATACTAAAAGCGTCTATTACCAAAATTAATAATTGGTGTCGAAAGCCTATATTTTGTATTTGATTTAACTTCTAATTTTTAAACTTTGTCGCAGTCATTTCAATGTTAGTAAACACGAGGCCAAGTCACAAAATAAATTACGAAATAGTTTGGGCACAATGGGGTTTAATATTAATGTCAATACTTCGTTTACATTAGAAGTATATAGCTCAATTTTTAAACATACATAATTTTTAAACATACATACTTGGTCAGATATATTGTTTTAACATACTAAACTATTACACCAAGCTTCAAAGTTATGGATGAACTAAGGGTTGCAAAATGGGGCATAATAGGGTGTGCCCCATTCGAATCCACAGAAATGACTTAAAAGTTTCCGTCCGAGTAAAGAGCCAGAATAACATGGTCCTGTGGTATGAAGAGAGCGAGTTCAAACCCCGGGGTGATCTGTAGTACCGATGTAAGTAAAAAGGCTAATTATTGTTAAATAGGCCAATATTTTGTATTTGATTTAACCACCCCAAATAGCGTTAATCAAACTTCTAAGTGAGTTCCGCGCATTTGCATAGGGCGCATCCTCATATGCCCCTAATTCGTCTACAATTTTGTAGCTTGGAATGATAGTTTATTATTTTACCCGAATTTCAAAATTACAGACTAATTTTAAGAGAAGATATTGTCCGTTATATATATATATATATAGAACAGAAACATATATTCTTTTATTATAATGGAAACATAACAATTAGGCTCCATTGTCTCCAACTGATTAATTTATAATTTTACGGCTTGGCATCCTGTTTGCTTACATTGTAATTATAAATGGGACAAATTTTGAAACTTAGAGGTTAAATCAAATGCAAAATATTGGCTTGTACATATAAAGAACTGTCCCTGGTTCGATCCTCGGGCCGGGCAAGGTTGACTCAGCCTTTCATCCGTTCAGTGGGTCGATAAATGAGTACCGAGCATGTTTGGGAACTAAACACTGGGGGTTCCGCGTTCGGCTGACCACCTGACCGGAACATCTGCTCCTGCACCCCAGAGCCCAAGGTCAAGAAAACTGAGATGGGCACAGATGGCCTTGGCTCTCTATGAGCTGTCGCGCCACTGAGTTTAGTTTACATATATAGAACTAGTTGGATTAGTTTGCTTAGGGACAGAGTGCATGTGCAGTATTGGTCTTCGTTAAACTGTTCTACCGTAAAGTGCTCGACTTCGTACTCTGGTCGCTGGGCTATAC